CCCCCCCCCACTCTCTCTCTTATATGACCACTCATTTGTCAATCATTTTTCTAACAGAAAAAGGCGCCAAAAATGTTTTTTTGAAATCGAAAAAAATTTAACAAACTTTTCATTTTCAGATCTATCGAAAAAATTTGAAGAACAAAATTTTTTTCAAAAAATTTTTTTTTCGAGGCTTAAAAACTGAAAATAGATCTTTAAAACTATGAAAATCGAGTTCCTCATGCTTTTTTACCCCTGGAAACAAATTTTCAGCGCTCTAGCTCAAAATGTCGTGAAATAAGGTGTATGGTCTGCAAACACCGAGTAGCTGCAGACCAGACACCACATTTTACGACAACTTGAGCTAGCGAGCTGAAAATTGATGTCCAGGGGTAAAAAAGCATGGGAAACTCGATTTTGACAATTTCGAAGCTGAATTTCGAGTTTGAGAGCTAGAAAATTGCAATTTTCCAGCTTTCAGGGTGAAAATTCGAGTTCGAAACAATCAAAGTCGAGTTTCTCATGCTTCTCTAGCTCAATTTGTCGTCAGGTTTAGTGTTTGGCCTGCAATAGATCAAAGTGTTTGCAGACAAGACACCTAATTTCACGACAAATGGAGCTAGAGAGCTGAAAATTAGTATCCTGGGATAAAAAAGCATGGGAAACTCGATTTTGATAATTTCAAATTTAAATTTCGACTATGAAAGTCGAAATGTGCAATTTAAAAAAATTTCAGGTTCCAAATTTAGGTCCGAAACTATTAAAATCGAGTTTCCCATGTTTTTTCACCCCAGAAAATCAATTTTCAGCGCTCTAGCTCAATTTGTCGTAAAACTTGGTACATTGTCTGCAAACACCGGGTAGATCAAAGTGTTTGCAGACCAGACACCAAATTTTACGACAACTTGAGCTAGCGAGCTGAAAATTGGTGTGCGGAAGTAAAAAAGTGTGGGAAACTCGATTTTGACAATTTCAAAGCGGAATTTCGAGTTTGAGAACTAGAAAGTTGCCAATTTCCAGCTCTCAGGGGGAGAATTTGGGTCCGAAACTATCAAAATCGAGTTTCTCATGCCTTTTTACCCCTGGAAACAAATGTTCAGCACTCTAGCTCAAAATGTCGTGAAATAAGGTGTATGGTCTGCAAACACCGAGTAGGTGCAGACCAGACACCACATTTTACGACAAATCGAGCTAGCGAGCTGAAAATTGGTGTCCAGGGGTAAAAAGCGATGGGAAACTCGAATTTTATAGTTTCAGCGCCAAATTTTATTTTTGAACCTTGGAAATTGCTCACTTTTCATCATTGCAAACGGAAATTCTAATTCTAAGCTAGATTTTTTTTAGGTTACGGTGCTTTCTTACAAATTTTTAGTTTAAAAAAAGGGAGAAAATTCTGGAACGCGCATACGGAGAGCTTGAAAAAAAACTATGGATATGAGTATATGCTCTTTTCTTTTTCTTCTTCCCCATTTTCTTCTTCTTCTTCTTCCTCCAGATGACAGCTCGTTTGACAGAATCATCACGATCTTTTTACACACACACAGAGGGGGGAATGCTTATACACATACTTTATACACAAAAGTTTTCTCCTCCCCTGGGAACAACCTGAATATTCTTTTGAATGGGGAAAACGAGAACAAAAGAAGTTTGGAATTCGGGGGAAAATGTTGAAAACGCTTTAAGTTTGAATTTCCTATTAGGCAAACCGAGTTTCAGCAAAATCCATACAGTAAGACTCGAGTTACACCGATTTTTAAGTTGTTTCAGCGTTTTTTCTATCTAAGAATATTAAATCAGCACTAAAATGCATAATTTCACAAATCATTCCATAGGAAATTAAATTTCCTATCCAATGAAAAAAGAATCATCAAAATCGGTGCATTTTGAGCAAAGTTATGAGCAAAAAACTAAAACTCATCAAAAAAAATTTGGGTGTTGCGCCTTTAATACAGTACCCTTTTAATTTTAAGGCGATTTTTATGGTTTTTAGGTTTGAAAATTTTTTTAATTGCAAAAAATTTGCAAATTATTTAAAAGTTTTTTCAGCAAAAAAACCGTTGAAAATCATCAAAAATTAGCAAAAAACAATAAAAACAACAATCAGCTACGGTATTCGTGGTAAGACTCCTCGAAAATTTTCGCCTGTGCGCCTTTAAAATTTGAATTTCAAATTCAATTTTTGGTTTTTTTCACTCAGTTTTTGACCGATTTTCATCATTTTTGGCCATTCTTTCTCGATTTTTTTGGTTTCTTAGGTTAAAAATTGCGATTTTTCAGATGAAACGCATTAAAACAAGCGAATCTGGCTGTCCAAAAGCCAAAAAAATCGCCAAAAACGAGGAAGAAGTGAAAAAAGACCGAGAACCGCAAGTAGAAGACGTCCGGATCGCGTTTAAGGATGAAATAAAAAAATATAAAAAGCTGAAACTGGAAAATGGGCGAAAATGTAAATTTTTAGACCGAAAAAATTCAAAAAAATTGAAAAAAAAAATTTTCAGACGACGTCCAGAAAGTGCTCGGCGAAGGCGTGTTCGGCATCGTTTTCGAAGTGTTTGATGAGGTAGAATGCTGAAAATCGTTGAAAAAGTTTGAAATTTTCAGAAAAAGCGGAAGTTAGCCGCCAAAATGATGAAGAAGACCGACGAGCCGCCGGACATCTGGAAAATCGAGCTTCATGTGCGTTTTAAGGCACAAATATCTGAAAATTCGTGATTTTCACAGTCGAAATACCCGGAAAACGGGTTTAAGAGCGAAATTTTTCAAAAAAAAATTTTCGGAAAAAATTCAAAAAAAAATGTTTTTTCAAAAATTTTTTAATCAATTTTTCGCGCTAAAAGCTGATTTCCAGGTCAATTTCTAGCTGAAAATTCGAATTTGTCAGCTGAAAATGCTCTAGAAAGAGTTTTAAGGTCTCAAATCCGTAAAATCTGAATTTTCAGATTCTCGAGAAAATTGCCACGTGTCCACATGAGAACATACTGCAATTGATATCGGTGGAGAAAGTGCTGGATCCACCGCCGTTTTGCACTGGAAATGTGCTATTCACGAATTGTCTCGGACCATCTCTCCTGGACGTCATAGCAAGTACGGCTTTTGGCAGAAAATGACTGGAAATCAGGGGTTTTCGAGCTGAAAATCGTGAAAATCAGCGAATTTCAGGCTGGAAAAGTGGTTTTCAGGCTATTTTCGGGCTGTTTTGGCCTATTTTTGAGCTTGTTTGATTTCTGGGAGTTTCAAACTGCTTTGGACAATGTTAGACCTATTTTGAGTCATTTTAAGGCAATTTTGGACCATCTTAAGCTTCCAGAGGCTAATTTTTGACCAGTTCTCGACTTGAAGTAGTTTCAGATCACTTTTTTACTTTGGAAACCCCAAAAAATTAGTTTTTCAGATAAAAACGGCCAAAAACCAAATTTTCAGCTAAATTCGCTTTCTGAAACTATCAAAATCGAGTTTCTCGTGCTTTTTTACCCCTGGACACCAATTTTCAGCTTTTTCAATCGAATTGTCGTAAAATTTCGTGTCTTGTCCGCAAACACCACGGAGGTGCAGACCAGACACTAAATTTTACGACAAATTGAGCTAAACGGCTGAAAATTGGCTTCCGGGGGTAAAAAGTTATGGGAAACTCGATTTTGAAAGTTTCAGACGCAAATCTTGACCCTGGAACCTTGAAAATAAAAAAGAACAATTTTCTAGGTTCTAGGGTCAGAATTTGGGTCTGAGGTAGTCAAAATCGAGTTTTTCACGCTTTTCTACCCCTGGACACCAATTTTCAGTTCTCTAGCTTAACTTGTCGTGTAATACGGTGCATTGTCTGCAAACACTTTGATCTACACAGTGTTTGCAGACAGTGCATCACATTTCACGCTGAAAAGAGGGTTTTAGGGGTAAAAAAGCATGAGAAACTCAATTCGGACCCCCTGAAATAAAGTTTTACATGTCAAAAATCACGATTTTCAGACTTTCAAGCTCAGAATTTCAGTCTGAAAATGTAAAAATCGAGTTTCCCATGCTTTTTTACTCCTGGACAACAATTTTTAGCTCTCTAGCTCAATGTGTTAGGTGTCTGGTCTGCACTTACTTAGTGTTTGCAGACCGTGTCGTAAAATTTGTCGTAAAATTAAGTGCCTGGTCCGCAAACACCGAGTAGATCACAGACCAGACACTACATTTTACGACAAATCGAGCTAATAAGCTGGAAATTGGCGACCAAAGGTAAAAAGGCATGGGAAACGCGATTTTGATAGTTTCAGGCCCAAATTCCCATTTTGAAAATAAAAAAATGCTATTTTCAAAAATTCAGAGTCAAAATTAAAGTCTGAAACTATCAAAATCGAGTTCCCCATGCCTTTTTACCTCTGGACACCAATTTTCAGTTTTCTAGCTCAAAATGTCGTAAAATTAGGTGCCTGATCCGCAAACACCAAGGAGGTCCAGACCAGACACCATACCTTACGACAATTTGTTTTTTTTTTTTTGTTTTTTTAGCTAGAGAGCTGCAAATTGATGTCCAGGGGTAAAAAGGCATGGGAAACTCGATTTTGATAGTTTCAGCTTGAAATTTCAGCTCTTTCGGCCTAAAATGTTCATTTTTTCTCTAAAATTTCAACTTTTCAGAAGCGGAAGCCTACCAACGCCCCGACACACTAGGCAGCACCTTCCCAATTCCCCAAATTCGTGATATCGGACGTCAAATGGTTTCCGCGCTCGCCCATTTGGACATTCTAGGGATCTATCACCTGGATATCAAGCCGGAAAATGTGTATTTTGTGGAAAATGGCGCATTTGATATCCGGTATTTGAGAAATAGGCATTTGGCGATCGAAATGAAGGACACGAAGATTCAAATTGGCGATTTTGGATGCTCGAAATTCCATAAAGAGTTTGAGAGCGATGTGAAGCCGACGGTGGTGCAGACACAGAATTACAGGGCGCCCGAGGTTTTCATTGGTAAGAAATATACCAAATATTATGGAAAATGACCCAAAAATCATGAAAAATAAGCCAAAAATCATGAAAAATTTTCAAAGAATCATGAAAAAGGGTCAAAAATCATGTAAAATGACCCGAAAATAATGAAAAATGGACCAAAAATACGGTTTAAAATCAATAAAAATAGTCTGAAAATCATGCAAAATGGTCCGAATATCATGAAAAATGACTAGAAATTATGGAAAATGACTGTAAAATCATGAAAAATGGTCCAAAAATCACAAAAAACCGCTATTTTTAAATTTTCGAACCTCAAAAATCGCTCGAAATGGGTCTGAAACTGCTGAAAATGCGGTTTTAAGACCGTCAAAAATCGTAGAAAGTGGTCGAAAATCTATAGAAAATGTGAAAAACGCTGAAAATCGTCAAAAATATTTTTCGAAAATAGTCAGAAATAGTTAAAAATGGATCAAAAATGAACCAAAAATCATGGAAAAAATCCGACAAAAAAATTTTTTTTGAGCCATTTTACATGATTTTTGGTCCATTTTTCATAATTTTTGGACCATTTTACATGATTTTTGGTCCATTTTTCATAATTTTTGGACCATTTTACATGATTTTTGGTCCATTTTTCATAATTTTTGGACCATTTTACATGATTTTTGGTCCATTTTCGTCTATTTTCAGCTCATTTCTATCATTTCCAGGTCTCCCATACAGTACGAAATCAGACGTCTGGTCATTCGGTGCCCTGATGGCTGAGATGTACACGGGGATGTTGCTGTTCTACGGGACAGACGACGAGAGTTCCGAAGCGACGCAATTCGAAATGATGCAGAGAGTCGTGGGACAGTTTGTGAATCGTGCCATGTTCCGGAAGGCTCTTCTGCATGGGTAAAACTGGAAATTTGGCTGAAATTGGCTGAAAATTGATAATTTTGGACCGCGAAAAAATCGAAAAATGAGTAAAAATACTGATTATTGACCTAGAAAATAGCTAAAAATAACGATTTTTGATCCAAAAACCATTAAAAATAGCTGAAATTTTGGCTGGAAATTGACGATTTTTGACCCAAGAATAGCTAAAAATGCTGAATTTTTCGATCCAAAATCCCCAAAAAATAGCTGAAATTTGGCTGAAAATCTCAAAATTGATCAATTTGACCGACAAAATCACTGAAAATAGCAATGTTTGAGCTGAAAATGGCTGAAAATCGATATTTTTAGCTGTAAAAAGACAGAAAAATCTGAAAATTACGATTCTCTAGCCCAAAAAATCGCTGCAAATGCCGATTTTTTGGTTGAAAATGCTGAATTTTGATCTAAAAAAGGCTGAAAATCAATCTGAAAATCTGAAAATTACGATTCTCCAGCCCAAAAAATTACTGAAAATGGCGATTTGTGAGCTGAAAATGGCTGAAAATCGATATTTTTGACTCTAAAAGTGATTTTAAAAGTCGATTTTCGAGCTGAAAATGCTGAAAATCTGGAAATTTTGGCTGGAAATTGATTTTTGACCTAAAAATGGCAATAATCTAGAATTTTCGATCCAAAACCGCTGAAATTAGCTGAAATTAGGGTGGAAATTGAAAGAAAAATGCCTAAACATCGAAAATCTGCAAAATTTTTGGCTGTAAATTGATGATTTTGACCCAAAAATCACTACCGACAAAATCACTGAAAAGATCGATTTTTGACTCAAAATTGGCAGAAAAACGAGGCTTTCGACTCTAAAAATGATTTTAAAAGTCGATTTGTGAGCTGAAAATGGCTGAAAATCGATATTTTTGACTCTAAAAGTGATTTTAAAAGTCGATTTTCGAGCTGAAAATGCTGAAAATCTGGAAATTTTGGCTGGAAATTGATTTTTGACCTAAAAATGGCAATAATCTAGAATTTTCGATCCAAAACCGCTGAAATTAGCTGAAATTAGGGTGGAAATTGAAAGAAAAATGCCTAAACATCGAAAATCTGCAAAATTTTTGGCTGTAAATTGATGATTTTGACCCAAAAATCACTACCGACAAAATCACTGAAAAGATCGATTTTTGACTCAAAATTGGCAGAAAAACGAGGCTTTCGACTCTAAAAATGATTTTAAAAGTCGATTTTCGAGCTGAAAATGGCTGAAAATCGATATTTCTAGCTGTAAAAAGTTTAAAAAATCTGAAAATTAGGTTTGTCTAGCCCAAAAAATCACTGAAAATGCCGATTTTCGAGCTGAAGTTGACAAAAAATCAATATTTTGACCCCAAAAATCACCAAAAAATGGCGATTTTCGAGCTGAAAATGGCTGCCAATCGAGATTTTCGACTGTAAAAAGTCGAGAAAATCTGAAAATTAACATTTTCAAGCCGAAAAATTCCGATTTTTGAGCTGAAAATGACTCTGAAATTGGCTGAAAATCAATGATTTTGACCCCAAAAAGCACTAAAAATGCCGATTTTCGAGCTGAGAATGACTCTGAAATTGGCTGAAAATCGATATTTTCAGTTCGGATCATGTCCGTAAAGACAACGGGATCCTCCAGCGAACCGCCAAGAAGTTCGAGCCCACCGTCCCATTGCACATGAATTTGAAGAAATTCGATTTCGAGGCGATTCCCCTCTTCGAAATGCTCAAATACGTGCTCATTCTCGATCCAGAGCTCCGTCCATCGTTCGAAGACGTCGCCAACCACAAATTCTTTGCGTTGAACTGATTTTTGGCTGAAAATCCGATGAAAAATGGCTGAAAATCGTCATTTTTACTCTATTTGTTCCCCAATTTTTAACCTAGTTTGGCTGAAAATTCCCCCAAAAATTGCCTGAAAATCGATCTATTTTTTCGTTATTTGCACCTATTTTCACCTGAATTATCCATTTTTTTGGCTGAAAATTGGCTGAAAATCGCTCTTTTTACTCTAATTCTCCCCCCAATTTTTGCTTGTTATTTTTTGTCTGAAAATCATTATTTGCAGTTGTTTTTGTTTATTTTCTTAAATTTTCCTCTGGTTTTTACCTATTTTTGATTGGAAAAATGGCTGAAAATTTCTATTTTTACTCTAATTTCCCCCCCCAAATCATCCTTTTTTCGTAATTTCTGGCTGAAATTTTACAATTTCCAGCCAATTTTGATCTATATTTATTTCGATAGTTTCTACTCATTTTCATTGTTTTTGGCTGGAAAAATTTGCTGAAAATCGATTTTTTTTAGCTAGAAATTTGTCTGAAAATCGGATTTTTTCGAATGAAATTTTGCGATTTTCAGGGCTAAAATTTCGAATTTCAGCCTGAAAAATTTGAAATTTGAGGCTGAAAATTGCTCATTTTTCCCCTAAAAATTCGGAAAAATAAACTACTAAAAATGCTGAATTTCAGCTTTAAAAAATTGAATTTTTGGCTGAAAATCAATTTTTTCTTTTTTGGAGAAAAAAACTGAAAAACTGCTAATTTCTGATCGAAGTTTTCATAATTTCAGCCAGCCATTTTTTTTCCCGAAATTCTTGATTTTTTTTTTAGTCCTAAAATTGAAATTTCGGCTAGAAATTTATATTTTTTGTGCAATTTTTTTTTTTTTTGAAAAATTCTAAATTTCTGATTTTTTTTCGAATTTTTAAAGCTCCAAATTCCCAAATTTTCAGCAATTTACAGCCATTTTCATCTCCTCCTCCTTAATACACCGATACACATCATGTTGCCATCCCCACTCTTGTCTCATTTTTTCCAGAATTTTTTTTTTCAATTCCAAAAATTTGGAATTTCCCAAAAAAAATCCTCTTTTTTTGTAATTTTTTTTTCAATTAAAAAATCGCCAAAAAATTTGAAAATTGGCGATTTTTTCCTATTTTTATTGATATTTTTCTATATATTGGCCTGCTAGACTACAAACTACATTCTCACAATTAGCAGACCCAAACTTGATCTTCCCGTTTTTGAACGATTTTTCACTCATTTTCGGGGATTTTTCACTTTGTTGGTCTGCTAGACTACAAACTACATTTTCAACATTAGTAGACCACAAGTGAAAAATCGGAAAAATGACCGATTTAAGAGCAAAAGTTTTGAAAAGTGAAAAAAAAATCAAAGACAACGCCCAGTAGACCGTCAGATCTGATATCATCACCACTGTGGTGGAATTCTGAGTGATAAATGGTCAAAAAACGCGAAAATCAGGTGTTGGTCTGCTAATTATGAAAATGTAGTTTGTAGTCTAGCAGGCCCAATCGGGAGATTTTGGAAAATTTGAGCAAAACGGATTTTAGGCGAAAATTGAGTTGGGTTAGGTTTCGGTCCTCCGTTCAAGGTGTGGGTCTGCTAGACTACAAACTACATTCTCACAATTAGCAGACCAACATTGATTTTCCCGTTTTTTGACCATTTTTCACTCATTTTGGGGATTTTCCACTTTGTTGGCCTGCTAGACTGTGGGTCTGCTAGACTACAAACTACATTCTCATAATTAGCAGACCCAAACCCAAAAAGTTCATTTTTCGTTAAAAATCCGTATTTTTTGCTCAAAATTTTCAAAATTTCTATAGTTTTCTCGTTTTTTGACGATTTTCATTCATTTTTGCTCATTTTAACACATTTTTGGGATTAAAATTGGAAAAAATCTACCAATTTTTATTCTCTCTCTAGTAAATCAAAAATGTACACGTTCTAGTTTTGAAAATTCTGATTTTCAGACAAAAAATTAAGCTGAGCAATCGTGTTTCAGATGCTAAACGATTCGCCACATCCGCACGTTCCTTTAATGTTGGGATTTCGAAAAACGAATTCCGACGAGAGCTTATCAGTGACATAGTCCATTTCGGAGCCCAGCAGTGATAATTGGGCTTTGGGCTCGACCAAACTTTGATTCCGTCCTGCAAAATGGAAGTTTTTGAGCTGGAAAATTGATTTTTTGAGCCAAAATTTGAATTTTAACGGTTTTTGAGCCAGAAAATTTGAAAATTTCTGAATTTTTTGAGATAGCAAATGTGATTTTTTGGGGATTTTTTGAGCTGGAAAATCAATTTTTTGACCTAAAAATTTGAAATTTTTGAATTAAAAATAGGCACCACAACAAAATTTTCAAAATAGACTTTTCCCAGTTTTTATTGTTGGATTGTATTCTCCTACTTTATAGAAGTCCATTCCCTAAATTTCAGGGAAAAATCTTCATTCAATCCCGAGTTACAGCCCCTTTTATACCAGACCTCAATGTACTGAATTTCTCCTCATTTTTTTGCGGTGCGCAGAAAAGTGGGCGGGGCTTAGCTGCGGCGCGGTTTCATTGTGGCGCTATTCCGAGCGCTGTTTTTTCATCAAAATCGCATCTTGGTTTGTCGGAAAAGCAGTTTTTAGGGTAAAAAAACGAAAAGAATAAGTTTATAACATTCAGACTTCAAAATTTTACTATAATTTATTGATGTTTTGTGCAAACACCGTGGCCCATTGAAAAAAGGAAAAAAAAAACAAAAAAACCCCATGGGAGATGCGAACTTCGGTCTTCAGATCGGTGCGCGCGCCCACTAACCAGTCTGCCACCGCTGCACTTCTCTTGGAAGCAATAGATGAGAGTGAGGAAAGGACGACTTTTCATTGCCTGCCGTCTCCTTCCGGTGTTGCCTCTTTCCTATTTTTTACAAGTTGTTCCATGATAGATAAGGAAACAGACGTATAACACATTAAGGGCGTCGATAGAATTTTTTAATTATAATTGCTCTTAGTGGCAAATTTTGCGTAGAATCTTATGGTGAAAAGAAAATCGGTGGCGCTCACCTGTGTCACCTTCAAAACTTCCAAAAACTGAAAATTTTGAAAGTTTGGAATTTTCGGATGAGTATCAAAACTACTTAGAGGTATTCAATCTTTCTGAAAATTGGCAGAAGTATACACAAGACTTAGTTTTACCATAATATGCAAAAAAAAATTGGGGTCATCGCTGAAATTTTTTATTTATTTTAGCTGGAACTTTGGCTGAAAATTGTGAAACAAGGGCGTCGTTAGAATTTTGATTTTATTTCAAAATCCAATCCCCCAGTTCAAAAACTATCAGAATCCATTAAAAAATCTAATGGCGCGAACTTCCATCCAACACTTTTAGTCCACTTTGTCAGTCCCACTTCTATTTTTCGAAGTTTTCGAATCAAAATAATAAAGTTATCGAAGAACTGATAATTTCATTGGATTCAGCGTAGTCGATTACATAGGGACAAGTTCTCACCAAAAAAATAATGGGTTTCTAACGCCCGGTACAAGCCTTCAAAGATGGATTTCTGAAAAGGGGAGAAAAATTTGGTCGCCCCGCCCCCTTTCATTGCGGTGCCTAATTAAAAAAAAAAAAATTTTTCAAACGATTCTGACAGCTTATTGAGAATTTTTATAACATTTTTAGGCTGAAAATTTGAATTTTCGGGATTTTTTTGAGCCAAAAAAATTGGATTTTGGAATTTTTTTAAACCAGAAAAATCGATTTTTTGGAAAAATTGCAAAAATTTTTTCGAAAATTCCAGCTTTCTGAGCACATTTTCAGCATTTTCAGCATTATTTTCAGCTTTTAAATGACAAAAATTGGCTACAAATCAAATGTTTGAAGAAAAATTTTTTTCAATTTTTTCAAAAACAAATTTTCAAATTCCAGCTTTCTGAGCTTATTTTCAGTAGTTTAAACATTATTTTTTGCTCAAAACAGCGAAATTTGGCTCTAAAAACTCGATTTTTAGCGAAAAATTGAATTTTCAGAATTTTCAGCTCAAAAAAAAAAAATTTCAGATTTTTTTTCAGAAATTTTGAAAAATCCACCTGCTCAACTTCTTCATCAAATTTCTGCTTTTCCCGGGCATATTCCAGTGTATACGTCAACCCATTACAGCCTTTTTGGCGGACTCCGATCTGGAAAAATCAAACTTTCCAGAATTTTTAAAAAAATTTCCCTACTTTCAGCGCATTTGCATTGTTTTGTTGTGCCAGCAGAACTCTTATTCTGCTCACCGCCTCATTTGTCAGTGTGAGAGCCGCTCTGAAACTTTTTCAAAAAAAATTTCAATTTTTGATTTTTTTTCAAAGCCTACCTGGTTTGCCTGGCTTTAAGAGCACCTTTGACGACTCTCGCAGTGGCTCCGCCCAATTTTGACATAGAAAAATTCGAAAAATTCCGGGAATTTAGCCGGAAATAGGGTCTGAAAATGTTGAAAATGACGAAAAAATCACGAGCCGACAACGACACTCCGCATATCCCGGCTAGTGCGCCCGGTTTAGCGTAAATCTACCCCGGAGCTGAAAAGCAAAATTTATGTGTGAAATGAGGTTGAATCATCGTTTTTAAAATTTTAAAAGATGAAAATTGAAATTCTACACATTTTAAACCTATGTTTAAATTGTTTATTGCTTGAAATCAGCTAGAAATCCTAGAAAATTAGAATACAACGACACTCCGCTATCCCGCCTGTGCGCCCGGTTTACCGTAAATCCACACCAAGAGCCGAGGCATCCAGAAAGTCTATGTCCACCGGAAATCGCCCTAAAATCTTCAATTTTTTTCTTATTTTTTCGAATTTTTCGAATTTTTAATGAATTTTATAATTTCCGACTCGATAAAACACCCATTCCCTTGCGAAACCTCTGGGAAAGTGTCGAAAAATCGGGCCTAAATTTTTCAAATTTTGATTTTGTTGTAAAAAATTCAAAACTCGCTCAATTTTCCTAAAATCAGGTTTAATTTTTGCAGAATGACCGCCACATTAACAGACGATATAGTGGCGACGGTGTTAGAGTCCATCGAGGAGAAAAATTACGAAAATGATAAGGAGAAGGCGGGCATGATCAAGGACGAGGCGAATCAGTTCTTTAAAGGTATTTTTAGAGGGTTTAGGGCCTAAAAATGCCGATAAACGGCTTAAAAATAGCCATTTTTGGTCCTAAAACTCGATTTTTTCACTTTTTTTCAGACCAAGTCTACGATGTGGCCGCCGACCTGTATTCCGTGGCCATTGAGCTTCATCCAACCGCTGTGTTGTATGGAAATCGCGCTCAGGCCTATTTGAAAAAGGAATTGTACGGATCAGCGTTGGAAGATGCTGATAACGCCATTTCCATTGATCCATCTTACGTCAAAGGCTTCTATCGCAGGGCTACGGCCAATATGGCTCTTGGAAGGTTCCGGAAGGCGTTGGCTGATTATCAGGCTGTTGTTAAGGTTGGTTTTGGGATAAAAATCCAAGAAAAATGACCGGGAAATCGGGAAATTTGGAGAAAATTGGTCTAGGGCGAGTTTATGTGAATTTCAAGCTAAAATTGCAATTTTTAACCGATTTTGACCTGTTTCAGTCACTTTTAAGCCGTTTCCAGCTAACAAATCAGTGGAAAAAAGCAAAAAATCTGGAAATTCGGAGAAAATTCGTCTAGAACTGTCTTTGGCTAATTTTGACCTATTTTAGCTTATTTTCAGCCATTTTCAGCTAGAAAAATGCGATTTTCAGCCCCCCTTTTGTGACAAAAAACGAAAAAATCCAGGAAAATTGAGCCAAAATTCGAGAAATTTGAAGAAAATTCGTCTTGAAAGAGTTTATTCGAATTTCAAACAAAAATAGCCATTTTTGACCTACTTGGACTAATTTCAGGCCATTTTGAGCCATTTTAATCTCGAAAAATGCGATTTTCAGCCATTTTTAACCCCAAATTTGGCTGAAAATTTGAAAATTTAGCGATATTAATTCATTTTTGACATTAAAATTACTGTAGAAAAAATCGATTTTTGACTCAAAATTGGCTCATTTCGAGCTGAAAATGGCTTAAAATTGATGATTTTGACCCCAAAAATCACTAAAATTGCCGACTTTCGAGTTGAAAATGACTGAAAATCGATATTTTTAGCTTTAAAAATCAAGAAACTCTGAAAATTAGCATTCCCTACCCTTAAAAATAACCGAAAATACCGATTTTCGAGCTGAAAATGGCTGAAAATCCGAAAATTTTGGCTGGAAATTGATGATTTTTGACCCAAGAATAGCTGAAAATGCTGAATTCCGACCTAAAATTCCCAAATAATAGCTGAAATTTGGCTGAAAATCTCAACATTTATCAATTTTGACCGGCGAAATCACTGAAAATAGCGATTTTTGAGCTGAAAATTGCTGAAAAACGAGATTTGTGACTGTTTTTTCGAACAAAAACAATTTTCATCCATTTTCATCCCTAAAACACGATTTCCAGCCATTTTCAACCCTAAAAATCCATAATTTCCAGGTGGTTCCGAACGATAAAGACGCGAAATCGAAATTCGAGGAGTGCCAAAAAATCGTGCGTCGTCAGAACTTCCTGGCCGCCATCTCTGTGGACCATGATAAGAAAACTGTCGCCGAGACGTTGGATATCAATGCGATCGCCATTGAGGACAGCTACGAGGGACCGCATTTGGGAGAGAAGGTACTAGGGCGATTTTGGCTAGATTTTAGGCGGAAATAGCTCAAAAATTGACATTTTTAGGCATTTTTGGAGCTAGAAATGCTCAAAAATGATCCGGAATGCTCTAGAATGATACCCCAAAAATGACCCCAAAACCCCCCGAATTTTTTGCAGATCACCAAAGAATTCATGCTGGAACTCATCTCGAAATTCAAGGATCAGAAGAAGTTGCACAAAAAGTACGCGTTTAAAATGCTCCTCGACTTCTACAACTATGTGAAAGAGCTGCCGACGATGGTCGAGATTACGGTACCCGCTGGGAAGAAATTCACGATTTGTGGCGATGTTCATGGACAATTCTACGATTTGTGCAACATTTTCGAGATCAACGGAATGCCCAGCGAGACGAATCCTTATGTGAGTTTGAACGGCGAAAATTGGCTGAAATTGAGCGATTTGGGGTTAAATATGCTGAAAATTGGCTGAAAATGAGGACCAGAAAGCTCAAAAATGATCTAGAATGCTCAAAAATGCTCCAGAATGATTTATGCTTAGTTTGAGCCAAAAATGCTGAAAATTGACTGAAAATGCATAATTTTGTGCCTAAAATGATGGAAATTGGGCTGAAAATGAGCCGTTTTGAGCCCAGAAAGCTCTAGAATGCTCCAGAATGCTCAAAAATGAGCCCAAATGCTCTAGAGTGATTTCTATTCATTTTGAGCTGGAAACGAGAAGAATCGGCTGAACATGAGCAATTTAAAGCTAAAATTAGTGAAAATTGGCCCAAAATCAGCTGTAAATGGGTCAGTTTGAGCTTCGAATGCTCAAAAATTACCCTAGACGCTCTAGGATGATTTATGCTCATTTTAAGCTAAAAATGATGAAAAACGACCCAACGAGAGCCATTTCGAGTCCAGAATGCTCAAAAATGCTTCAGAATGCTCCAAAAATCAGCTGTAAATGAGTCATTATGAGCTGAAATTGCTCAAAAATGACCCTAGAAGCTCTAGAATGCTCCAGAATGATTTCTGTTCGTTTTGAGCCAAAAATAGTGAAAAACTGCTGAAAATGAGCAATTTCAAGGCAATCATGATTAAATTTGGCTCAAAATGAATCATTTGAGGCACAGAATGCTCAACAAATGAGCCCAGAATACTCTAGAATGATTTCTGTTTCATTTCGAGTCAAAAATGCTGAAAATCAGTCATTTCGAGCCGAGAATGCTCCCGAATGCTCTAGGGATGTCATTATCAGCCGAAAATCGTAAGAACCACCTTACGATGAGACGTTTTGAGCCAGAAATGCTGAAAATATGCTTTAAAATTCGAAAATCTAGCTATGCAAGAGCCAAGAATGCTCCAAAATGACCCACACTGCTCTGAAATGATTTCTGTTCATTTTGAGCTGAAAATGATGAAAATCGGCTTTAAATGAGTCATTTTGATCCACAAATTGAGCTTAGAAATCTTAATTTTGACTCAAAAAAGAGCTATTTTCAGTCGATTTTTGAGCATTTTTAGCTCTAATCATCTATATTTCTAGATTTTATAGCTCATTTTTGACTCAAAATGTTCAGAAATCATTCTAGAGAGTTCCAGAACATTCTGGGCATTTCTGGGCTCAAAATTGCAAAATTTCGCCCAATTTTCAACTAGAAATTTCAAATAATTGCTCATTTTTGCAGCTATTCAACGGCGACTTCGTGGACCGTGGCTCATTTTCCGTCGAGACGATTTTCACGATGATCGGCTTCAAACTGCTCTATCCCAACCATTTCTTCATGTCACGTGGCAACCACGAGTCGGATGTGATGAACAAAATGTACGGATTCGAGGGAGAAGTCAAGGCGAAGTACACTCAACAAATGAGCGACATGTTCACGGAGACGTTCTGTTGGCTGCCGCTGTGTCATTTGATTAACCAGAAGATTTTTGTGAGTTTTTCGAGAGATAATTGAGCAAAAATGAGTGATTTTGAGCTCAGAATGCTCCAGAAGGATTTCTAGTCATTCTAAGTGATTTTGGCGGCAGTTCAGGTCAAAAATGATGAAAATTCGGCTGAAAATCGACTTTTTCGAGCTCAGAATGCTCCAGAATGATTTCTGATCATTTTAAGTCGAAAATAGGCTTTAAATCAGTAATTTTGGAGGGAGCTTATTTCGAACGAAAAATAAAGGATTTCATTGAAACTAGGCATTTCTGAGCTCATTTTAAGCTCGAAAAAGGCTTCAAAAGAGAGAAAATGAGCCCAAGATGCTCCATAATCATTTCGGGTCATTTTAGACCAAAAAACGAAAATTATTCAGAAAATAGACCTTTTCCAAGCTCAGAACGCTCAAAAATCACCTAAAATGCTCCAGAATGATTTCTGATCATTTTAAGTCGAAAATATCCCAAAAATCTGCAATTTGAAGCCCAGAATACTCAAAAATGACTAAAAATGCTTTAAAATGCGATTTTCTGGAAAAAAATTAAGCAAAAATGAGTGATTTTGAGCCTAGAATGCTCCAGAGTGATTTCTACTCATTTTAGCCAAAAATAAGCTTCCAAAGCGCCGAAAATATAGTCTTGAGGAGCTCAGAATGCTCAAAAATGACTCAAAATGCTCCAGAATGCACCAGACTGCTGTTTTCGAATGATTTCTGAACATTCTGAGGTCATTTTGGAGCATTTTAGACCGAAAATGATGAAAATTCGGCAGAAAACGGAATTTTCGGAGTTCAAAATGCACAAAAATGCTCCAGAATGCTCCAGAATGATTTCTAGTCGTTCTAAGTGATTTTGGCGGCATTTTAGGTCAAAAATGGCTGAAAATTCGGCTGAAAATCGGCTTTTTCGTGCTCGGAATGCTCTAGAATGGTTTCGAGCTTAAAATCAGTAATTTGGAGCCCAAAAATGCTCCAGAATGATCTAGAATGAATTCTGGAGCATTCTAAATCATTTTGGAGCGGAAATTGCTCATTTTTAGCCGATTTTCAGTCGTAAATTCCATTTTCCAGGTGTGCCACGGAGGACTATTCAAAGAGGACGGCGTCACACTGGACGATATCAAGAAGACGAACCGAAATCGTCAGCCACCAGATGAGGGCATCATGTGCGATTTGTTGTGGTGAGTTTTGGCATGACGTCACATATCATTAGAGCGAATTTTCTGAGTTGAATTTTCAATTTTTCATTCAATTTGCTATTGAACTGTGTAAAAATTTTGAAGATATTCTGAAAACTGGCTAAACTACAGTGATTTGAAGTTTTTGGTAAAAGCGAGAATGCCCTAAAAATCTAGGCCATGACCTAAAAAAATTAGGTCATGCCCTAAAAATCTAGGTCATCTTGTAGCTGATTAAATTTGCTATCGACTGGTATGAAAGTTGTATCGGAGTATCGTGAAAACTGGCTGAGATACAGTAATTTGAAGTTTTGAAAAAAAATGTTTTGGAAATTTTTTTTGTGGGTTCTCTAACCTAAGGCCCCTAATTGTATGTTCCATCAAAAAATAACATATTCAAAATGTTCAAAAAACTACGAAATCTAGAACACCCCCATGCTGATATTGGGCAGCGAAATACCGTAATCTATGAGCCGATTTGAAAAATTATTGTTTTTGTTTTTCTGGAATTTCATTTCACCGTTTTTTGAACGAAGGGAAAATTAAGGAATAAAATAAAAATAGGCTCTAAAAACGTTGCAGACATAAAAAATTAAGGGTTCAGTTATCTCAGATGTCAGAAATGTGTCAACTGATAAAATGTTGGTGATGATATAATGACAAATATTTTATCAGTTTACAGATTTTTGATATCTTTTACAGAAATCGAGATAATTGATAATTAAAAAAAGGCAAAATATGTATTTTTTTTAGTTGCTCAATAACTGGCAATTTTAATTAAAATAATGTCTCCAGGTCGGACCCACAACCAATCGACGGTCGTAGTCCATCAAAACGGGGTGTCGGTTGCCAATTCGGACCTGACGTCACTGCGAAATGGTGTGAAGCCAATGGCATCGAATATGTTGTCAGGTAAGTATCAATGCTGAAAATCTGAAATTCGAGAATCCGAAATGTTGCAGATCTCACGAGGTGAAGCCGGAAGGATACGAAATGCATCACAACGGACAGTGCTATACGGTATTCTCGGCGCCCAACTATTGTGATCAAATGAACAACAAGGGAGCGTTCATCACGATCACTGGGGATAATCTTTCGGTGAACGATTTTCTAGATTTCAGCCTATTTCTATGATTTTTGGACCCTTTTAAATAATTTTCCGACGATTTTTCGTCATTTTTGACCTATTTTTCATCGATTTATTGATTTTCAGCCCCGCTTCACGCCATTCGACGCCGTCCCACACCCCAAGCTGCCACCAATGGCCTACGCCAACAGTCTTTTTGGATTCAATTGAATTTATTTATTTTTTTTTGATTTTTCGAATTTTTCAAATTTCCCGCCAATTTTCCCTCAAAAAATTCCACAATTTTCTCACTTTTTTCTATGGATTTTTAGCCATTTTTCCCTTAAGCCCCGCCCCCTTTTTTGTCCTACCTCCCCCAGTTTAAAATTACGGACCGTTGAAATAAGCCCCGCCCCTTTTTTTTTCTTCTTAAATCTTAGAAATCGATTATTTTCTCTAAGCCACGCCCCCTTTTTCCCCATTTCCCGAGTTTTTTCCCTAAAATAGCTGAAAAATGAGCAATTTTCTGGAAGCGCCGCTTCTTTTTTGTCCAGGTAGAATCACGCCCCAGTTATAGCTATAATATTGATTGATTGATTATTCATCCATGCGGTTTTTTGTTTTATGAAGATATTATGAGTTTTTAAGCTGAAAATCTGAAATTTAGAGAAAAATTTTGAAAATACATGAATTTTAGATTTTTGGGTCTGCTAATGTTGAAAATGTAGTTTGTAGTCTAGCAGACCAACAAAGTGAAAAATCCCCGAAAATGAGTAAAAAATCGTCAAAAACGGGAAAATCAAGTTTTGGTCTGCTAATTGTGAGAATGTAGTTTGTAGTCTAGCAGACCCAAGTTTCCCTTCGGCGGGCCTGCTAGGCTACAAACTACAACTTGATAATTAGCAGACCACAAGTGAAAAATCGGAAAATTGACGGATTTAAGAGCAAAAAAATTTTGAAAAGTGGAAAAAAATCAAAGAAAAATAAATTTACAGTTGTAGTTTGTAGTTTTTGTAGCCAAAATTTAAAAAAAACGAATTTTCTAGATGAAAAATGAGCAAAATTGTAATTTGGGTCTGCTAATTATGAGAATGTAGTTTGTAGTGTAGCAGACCCACTTTAGAAACTTGGAAAATTAGCAAAAATGACTGATTTTAGGCGAAAAATGTGTTTTTTAAGATTTTGGTCTGCTAATGTTGAAAGTGTAGTTTGTAGTCTAGAAGGCCAACAAAGTGAAAAATCCTCAAAAGCGAATGAAAAATCGTCCAAAAACGGGAAAATCAAGTTTGGGTCTGCTAATTATTAGAATGTAGTTTGTAGTCTAGCAGACCCAAGTTTCCCTTCGGCGGGCCTACTAGACTACAAACTACAACTTGATAATTAGTAGACCACAAGTGAAAAATCGGAAAACTGGCCGATAAGCAAAATTGTGATTTGGGTCTGCTAATGTTGAAAATGTAGTTTGTAGTCTAGCAGGCCCAATCTGGAGATTTTGAAAAATTTGAGCATAAATGACGGATTTTAGGCGAAAATTGGGTTTTTCTAGGTTTTGGTCCTCCGTTCAAGGTATGGGTTTGCTAGACTACAAACTACATTCTCATAATTAGCAGACCAAAACCCAAAAAGTTCGTTTCTCTTTAAAAATCCGTATTTTTTGCTCAAAATTTTCAAAATTTCTAAAGTGGGTCTGCTAGACTACAGACTACATTCTCATAATTAGCAGACCCAAACTTGATTTTCCCGTTTTTTGACTATTTTTCACTCATTTTGGGGATTTTTCACTTTTTGGTCTGCTAGACTACAAACTACGTTCTCATAATTAGCAGACCAAAACCCAAAAAGTTCATTTTTCGTCGAAAATCCGTATTTTTTGCTCAAATTTCTCAAAATCACTTTAAAATGGACTAGCTAAAGTTTTATTCCACCAGAAAATGTCAAAAAAAAAGTTTTAGAAAAAAAATCGAAAATTACAGATTTTTGGGCAATGAAAATGAGAGGAAAAAATCGAAAAGACTTGAAGAAAAGGGCGGGAAATTTGAAAATTCAAAAAATTCAAAATTTCTAATAATATGGATGACCGTACTCCGATCCAGATTCGCGGGATCCATATTTATTGTTCTGTGCCTGATTTTGCCATCCCTCATTGTGTCCGTGATTGGCGTAGCCGCCTTGTTTGGCTCCGTACTTCCCGATGTAATACTTCTCGTGATGTTTCTTATGTGCTCCGTCTTCCTGGAATAATTTCAGACATTTTAAGCCATTTTTCAGAAAATTTGAGCCAAAAAATTATTTACCTAAGTTTTATAACATTAGAATACAATTTTAAACAAATTTTCAAACATTTTGAGCAAATTTTCAGAAATTTTAGGCTATTTTGGGCAATTTTAGACCACGTTTTGCTCAGAATAAGGGATTTTCGGATTTTCGCACATTTTAAGCTAGTTTTTCATGATTTTCAGTTGGAATATAGTGTTTCCTAGATAGATAAATTTTAAAATCCGCTTTGAAATAAATTTGAGACATTTTAAGCCATTTTTTAGCAAATTCGAACCATTTTGAGTCATTTTACGTTGAAAATAGGTGATTTAAGAGGGTATTGTTATTGGAGCGCGTTTTCTGACTTTTACATTGGTTTTCATAAGAAGTTAACAACTAATGAATTGTAGCTCTCAAAATGTGCTATCAAATGGTGTAAAAATCATAAAAATTGAATGAAAATGAACAAAACGCCAAAGTTTTGAATTTTGGGATTTTTCAAAATTTTCTTGAAATTTTTTTTTTTGATTTTCAGCAAAAAAAATTTTTTTAGCTAAATTTTTCACAACTTTTTCAGCTGCGAGTTCTAAATTTTTCCAGAAAAAAATTTTTTTTTTAACTTTTTTAAAACTAACCTTATCATAACTGGTGTACTTATCATCATGTCCGGCACCAGCACCATCATAACCCTTCTTGAATCCATTATCCTCATTATGCGATGAATATTTGCTCTTATGATCGTCGTGCTCATAACCATCGGATCCGTAATAACCCTTTTGGTAGGATCCGTATGGTCCAGAGCCAGATGTGAAGTAGGAGAATTTCTTTCCACCGTAGGCATCTGGAATTTTTTCAATTTTGGAAGAAATTTTGTTATTCTGAAAAAACAAGAACTGGGCTTTAATTTGAGTTAAAAGCCATAAAAATCCGGTAAAAATGAGCAAAGTTATAATTTTTTGAAATTTTGGAAAAATTGAAAAAAAAATTGAAAAAAAAATTTCAAATCATCATATCTCGGTTAATTTTAGGAACTTTAAAGTGATTTCGAGCTCATTTTGAAGCTCAAAACCTCCTTTTTCAGATCAATTATAATTGCTCACCTCCATTCTTCTTGAGTCCCTTCTCATGTGCCTCATCTCCATGTCCATGCTCATCTCCCTTGGCGTAGTACTCTGATCCGCTCTTCTTTCCACTCTCCCCATACTTCCCATCGTAATGACCGTATGCTCCCTGATCGCTACCGTAATCCGACATGCCGTTGTGTCCACCGTATCCCGTTTGATCGGCTTCATACCCTCCGTGCTTCTTGTCCAGCGCCTTGTGGTATCCTCCGTACTTGTTGTAGTAGGATGGCTCTGGGGCGTACCCGGCAGCAGCCATCAGGACTGAAGCGGCGGACAAAAGAAGCACACGACGGGTCATGGCTGAAAATGTGCTTAAAATTTGAAGAAAAACTCAAAAAACTAGTTGAAAAACGGGCGAGAATAAGCTGAGATATCACGGCTGGAAGAAAAAGTTGGTAGTTATCATCAGGGCGACTTTTCTGAGTTGCGCCAAAATTTTTTGTAATGAATGTTATATTATCTTGTAGCTCTTAAAATTTGCTATCGATTAACATAAAATTTATCAAAATTTTATCAAAATTCGCTGAAATACAATATCTTGAAGTTTTGAAAAAATGCGAAAAAAAAATTTTTTTTTGAAAATTTTCGAATTTTTAATTATTCCAATTTTCGTTCGTTCTCATAACTTTTATTGGGTTTTCAACAATTTTGGATTTATATTTTTTGCAAAATTCAAACATTTCGGAATTCGTTTGAAAAAAAAAACCGTATGAAAAAAAAAGGTTCAGAATGAGCGTAGAACCAAAATTCAAAGTGTTTATCATTGGAGCGCATTTTCCTAGTTCAGTTAAAGTATTTGCAAATAGAATTTGTTATCATTTTATAGCCCGATATATTTGCTATCGATTGGTGTAAAAATCATACATAAAGTCTAAAAATTGGCAAATATACAGTAATTTGAAATTTCGATTCTAAAATTTTGAACGGATAGTAAAATTAGTGTTCATTGGAGCGAATTTTCTCAATAGATTGTTACGGTTTTTGTATAAAATGCTATATTATCTTGTAGCCCATAAAATTTGCTATCGATTGGTATAAAAATCATTAAAAAATTCCAAAAATTGGTTGAACTACAGTAATTTAAATTTTTGGTTAAAATTCTTTTCGAAATTTTTTTTCAAAATTTTCGAACCCTCATATTTCGGTTACTTTTAATAATTTTTAAATAAATTTTCAAGTTTTCTAAACTAAAATTTTATGTTAAAATCAAAAATTACAGTATCAAAAACCTTAAAACACTGAAAAGTACAGAAAACCATAGAAAACGAATGATATGCTTCTTCTGGAAGATGTCATCGTCTTATATACCTCTTCTGATCCTTGTTCAATACCAGTTTACGTATTTTTTCCATGTTTTTTTTTGTCTTGACATACAATATACATATAATTTTCTTCCGGTCGACTTTTCCCTAGAATCTCTTCTCTGCGTCTCTCAGATTACTGTACTCTCTAGCTCTTCTCTTTCGGAATTTTTTTCGGGAAACGACATGGAATGAATGAATGAGAAGGAGAAGAAGATGCATATTATTATTAGTATTATTATTACATTGTACTTTTTCTCAAGACAAAAAAAATAGCGTATTATTAGTTGTATTATGCATTTTTATGAGAAATTATGGGGGTTGGTTGACATGGGAAATGAGAAATTTGAAACTTTCTGTCATAACTCCTTTGTTCTGCAAGTTGGGGCTTGGAAATTTAGTTTTTTGAATTTTCCAGGTTTTTTGGGTCTAGAAAATTGCAGTTCATAAGAATTGGAATAATCGAAAATCGCTAAAAATTTTATTCTTGAAATTCAAAAAAAAATTTTTTTCGAAAACACTTTTTTTTTTCAAAAACTCATAACTTTTGTCATTGTCAACAAGTTTTTGTGATTTTTGTATCAACTAAAAGCTGATTTTATGGGCTACATTTAAATAACAAGCGGTTTCTAATAAAATTTTGAATTTGTGACAGAAAACGCGCTCTAATGAGAACTACCCCTAGAACTAAAAATTGATAAAAAACTGATACAGTTACAAAAGTTTGAAAATTCGAAAAAAAAAATCGAAAACAATTTTTTTTGTTGGAATTTTTCGAAATTTTTCAAAAATTCAACTATTTATAACTTTTTGAATTTTTATTCAATTTTGATGATCTTTATACCATTTGATAGCAAATTTCAAGTTCTACAGTTCATTTAAAACAACATACTGTAAAAATTAAAATTAAGTATAGAAAACGTGCTTCAATGATAACACACCCAAAAAACTGGCGAAATTCCAAAAATTACACTTTCTCCTTTTTTTTTCTGGAATTTTCTCTAATAAAACTTTTGAAAATTAATCAAGAAATAATTTATTAATCGTGGAATCAAATTTCACAAAAAGTAGTTTTCGACAAGTTGATGCATTTAAATTACAAAAATTACGAAAAATGAGATTTTTGGAGGAATTGAAAAATGTATAATTAAATTAAGTTAATGGAAAAAATACAGAGGTAGAATGGAAAAAAGTTTGAAATGGGAAAGAAAATTTGGGAAATTCGAAATTCGAAATTTTTCTAATAATTCGGAAATTGCAATTTTCCATCCTCGACATGTTTGAAAATTGTCAACTGCTGACATAAATCCTCAATCGTTTTAAAAGCTCTTCTTTGAAAACACTCATCACAATGCTCCAGAACCGTACAGCACTCTCCAGTGGAATGTAGAAATGATCGAATCTGAAAAATTGACACTTTCAAAAAAATTCTTATTGGCAATTTAGCAGAAAGCCCCTGGGTCCCTGGGTCACTGCGTCCCTGGGTTCCTGGATCCCTGGGTCCCTGGGTCTCTGTGTCTCTGGGTCCTTGGGTCCCTGGGTCCCTGGGTCCCTGGGTCCCTGGGTCCCTGGGTCCCTGGGTCCCTGGGTCCCTGGGTCCCTGGGTCCCTGGGTCCCTGGGTCCCTGGGTCCCTGGGTCCCTGGGTCCCTGGGTCCCTGGGTCCCTGGGTCCCTGGGTCCCTGGGTCTCTGTGTCTCTGGGTCCTTGGGTCCCTGGGTTCCTGGATCCCTGGGTCTTTGGGTCCCTGGGTCCCTGGGTCCGAAATTGTCCAAATTTTGGGAGAATTCTCATTTTCTGACCGAAATTGAAAATTTTGACCGAAATTAAAAGTTTAAAAAAATGTGCTGTCAATTGGTGATAAATTCATAAGAATCAATCGAAAAGTACTTGAAAGTGGTCAAAAAATCATGAAAAATGATCCAAAAATGATCAAAACCCGTTCAAAATGATCGAAAATGTCCAAATTTTGGAGTACTCTCATTAGAGCGCATTTTCTATTTGAAAGTCAAATTTTCGTCAAAAACGTTGTACTACGAAAATGTAGGCCATAAAATTTGCTACAAAATAGTATAAAAATCATTAATATGCGTCAGAAATTGCAAAAGTTCTGAAATTTTGAAAAAAAATATTTTTAGCCAAAAAATAATTTTTTGAAATTTTTTTTCATATTTTCAAACTTTTAGAATTTTCTTTATATTCTACTGATTTTTTTGATTTTTATTTCATTTAATAGCAAATTTCAAGGGCTACAAAACTAATAATAAACAGTTTTTTGAAAAATCATGGAAAACTTAGGAAAATGTGCTCTAATGTAAACCAACCCTCAAAACTTTAAGGTTAGGGGCTAACATCTTTCACCATTGGCCATTATGTCAGATTTTTAATAGAAAAAAAAGTTTTGAAGGAAATTGAAGGTTGAAATCCCAGAAAATTGATTTTAAATATTTAAAATTGGTCATTTTTGGAACTTTTTTAGAAAAAAAGATGTTCAAAAAAAATTTTTTTTTCAAAATCTTGAAAACCCCGAAAACTTACAATGAAAGAATTCTCAACAATCGAATAAAGTTGAGCTTTTGCCACAATCATCCTCAAGTCATGTGTCGTTATCAGCGGCCGCCCATCAGGACTTGCAGTCGCTTCAGCGTGTTCGATATGCTTATAAATGTCTGGAAACGTTTCAGCCACGCCCAATCTCTGAATTTCCTCCTTCACTCTCGACGTCGGAATTCCACGATTCATTTTCATCGGTTTCACATCGATTCCCGTCGTTTGTTGACTGAAAAGTCCCAATCTTAACGCGTCAGCCGTCTTCATTCGATCCATATTCACTAGATTTGGGCCGTTCTGAAAAAATCGTTGTTTTGTTGTTTTTTGGAGCGCGTTTGCAGACTAGAATTTCATAAAAAAAATTGAGCAAATGTATAATCAAAATGTAGCCAACAAAATTATCTATCCATTGGTACAAAAATCGTTTGAAAAGCTTTAAAATTGACATAGTTATTGCAATTTGAAAGTGGAAGACCAGTTTTTGAGATGTATTCTCATTAGAGCGCATTTCTGACAAGATTGAAAAAAGTTTTTGTAGCGAATGTAATATCGAATTGTAGTTCTTAAAATTACCTATCTGGCACTATAAAAATAATTTAGAAAACTTCAAAAAAATCACATAGCTACAGACTTTCAAAGTTCAGGGCACAGTTTTTTTAGGTGTCTTCTCATTAGAGCGCCGTTGAAGTTCTAAATTTTTTCATGTTCTTGCCAAATTTTTGTAGCCAATAAAATTTGCAACTAGATGATAAAAAAAGATTGTAAAAATTGAATTGAAATTGAAATAGTTCCAAAATTTAGAAAATTTGTAAAAAATTCCAAAAAAAATTTTTTTTTCGAAAACACTTTTTTTCAAAATTTTATAACTTTTGACATTTTCAACAAATTTTTGTGATTTTTGTATCAACTGAAAGCTGATTATATGGGCTACATTTTATCTGACAACGGTTTTTAACGAAAATTATGAATTTCTGACAGAAAACGCGCTCTAATGAGAACTACCCCTAGAACTAGGCAACTTTGGTCATTCTGAACGGATTTTGATCATTTTTGGGTCATTTTTTATGATTTTTTCATTCAAAATTGTATTGAATAATTGTAGCCTTTAAAATTTTCTATCAAATGATATAAAAATCATACAAATTGGACAAAAACTGAGACAGTTATGGTAATTTGAAAAAAAAAGCAAAAAAAAATTTTTTTTTTGAAAATTTCAATTTTTCTTATGATTTTCAAATTTTTATAGCTTTTTGAATTTTTAATTCGGTCAAACAAAATTTATACCATTAAATGGGAAATTTTAAGGGCTACAAAATTGCAATTAATTACTGTTTTCGAAAATTTGATTTTAATTGAGAAAATGCGCTCCAATAAGAACAAAGTTAAAAATTGCTTTAGAGCGTATTTATGTTATTTTTAACGTTTTTTTTAACTTTTGCAAAATAATTTCTAGGTCAAATTTAAGCCATTTTGCATTATTTGAGCGCTATTTTTTTACAATTTCCAAACCCATTTAAGTCATTTTCAACCTGAAAACTCACCGAACAATCATTATAATCAGTAGCCATAAGTTCGAAAATTCCCACGATTTCTTGTCCTTTTTGATGGGACAGTTTATGAAAACAGCGATGAAAACGAATGTGTTTTAGCATCATATCCATTAATTGTTGACCTTTTCGAACCACATAATGATAGCCTCTCGAGCGTTCGTTGTTCAGTTGGAGCATTGGAACTTGTACGAACTGCAAAATTGAAATTGACCGTAAAATTAGGAAGTTCAAATTTTCGTTTAAAAACATCAACAAAGAAAATGTAGCTCATAAAATCAGCTTTCGAATGATATAAGAATTACAAACATTGGTTAAAAATTACCAAAATTAAAAACTTTTGAAAAAAAAAACAAATTTTTTGAAAATTTTGAATTTCTCCAAAATTCAAAGTTTTGGAACTATTTTAAGTTCAATTCAATTTTTACAATCTTTATATCATCGAATTGCAAATTTTAAAGGCTACAATTCTTCAATTAATTGTTCTTTTCCAAGATTTCTTGTTAGGCCAGAAAATGCGCTCCAATGAGAACACACCTCAAACCTCTTGCACTTTGGTGTAACATGGCTCAAAATAGCTCTTTTTTTCAGAATATTGAATCAAAGTTGGTTGAAAATAAGAAATTTGTTTTATTGTTACCAAAAATACAATTTTGAATTACAAAAATCATCAAAAAATGACCCAAAAATGATCAAAATCCGTTCAGAATGACCAAAGTTGCCTAGTTCTAGGGGTAGTTCTCATTAGAGCGCGTTTTCTGTCAGAAATTCAAATTTTCGTTAAAAAACATTGACAAATAAAATGTAGCCCATAAAATCAGCTTTCAGTTGATACAAAAATCACAGAAATTTGTTGAAAACGACCAAAGTTATGAAATTTTGAATTTAAGGAAAAAATTTTTTTGAGAATATTTTTCCAAATTTTCACAATTTCATAACTTTTTTTAATTTTGACAAAATTCAATGATTTTAATATCATTCGATAGCGAATTTTAAATGCTCTTGTTTTTTTTTATTAAGATCTATTTTAAAAATGTAATGTTAGGTCAGAAAATGTGCTCCAATGAGAGCATACCTCAATTTTTCAAAAAATTATCACCTCAAACAATTTCATTCCATCCTTCCCTAGAATCTTGAACAACTCCAAAAAAGGCACAGTATCCAATTTGTGCATTTTCGAAAACTTTTTTCGCATTTCTTTCGAGACTTTCAGCTTCGCTCGCTCCATTTCCTTCATCAATTCCCATGGCAAAACGAATTTCATATTTTTCGCATTCTCAAATAATCGGATGATCACTTTTCCTGAAAATCGCCTCAACGGATTATTTTTGAACCATTTTGGATGGTCGTGAGCGAAATCCCGAATCGAATATAGGATATCTATGACATTCCGGTACAAATTCTCAACGTTGTTCCCTTTGATTTTATCGTAATCTCTGAGAACCTTCAACACTTCCGAGTAGCGCTGATCGAGGACGTGTGGGATGAGAATGCACTGAAAAAAAAACAATTAATAATTTATAATTGCCAAAATAGCCCTAGAAATTTGCTATGGAATAGTATAAAAATCATAAAAATCGAACGAAAATAAGCAAAATGCCAAAGTTCTAAAAATTTTAAAAAATTGAAAATATGAGACTTTAGAGTTATTATCCTTGGAGCGCGTTTTCCAATCGAAGTTTGATATCTGACGTACTGTTTATGTGACTACATAAAATTCCTTAAAATTTCGCATCAAGTGATACAAAAACCATGAAAATTGATAAAAAATTGATAAAGTTACAAGAAGTTAAATTTTCGAGCAACAGTGAAAATAGGTGATTTCAGGGGTATTATCATTGGAGCGCGTTTTCTAACTTCAAATTTGATTCTCATAAAAAGTGATTAACAAGTAAATTGTAGCCCTTAAAATGTGCTATTGAATAGTATAAAAATCTTAAAAGTCGAACTAAAATGAACGAAATGGCAAAGTTTTGAAATTGGCAGAAAATTGAAAAATATTTTTTTTTCAAAATTTTTGTAACTTTATCAGTTTCTCATCAATTCCTATGGTTTTTGTATGAACTTGTAGCAATAATTACGCTTCATGTAGCAAGTCAAGAATATCACGAGTAAATTTAAAATCTGGGACTATTTTAGCCATTTTCAGCTCGTCTTACTTGAAAACCAGTGATTTTGTGGTATGTTCTCATTAGGGCGCATTTTCTGTCTGAAACCCTTATTTTTGTAAAAGGCAATTATTAAAAACTTATAGGCCTTGAAATTTGCTACAAAATCATATAAAATCCATAACAAGTGATAAAAAACTGATAAAGTTACAAAAGTTTGAAAAATTTAAAGTTTGAAAAAAAATTTATTTTTCAGGAAAATTTAACTTTTTGTATACCATTGAATAGAAAATTTTAAGAGCTTCAATTTGATAACAAAACTGTTGTGCCCAAATTAAACAACCCGTCAGAAAACGCGCTCCAATGACAGTAACCACCAAAATTGCAAATTTTCTACGTAGGATCGCTCAAAATGGCTCAAAATTTTAGTTTTTTTTCAATAATTGTTATCCCAAAAATTTGCGGCGTTTTGATATAAAAATCAAAAAAATTGAGCTAGTTTGAGCAGTTTAACACTAAAAAATAGGAATTTTAGGTGTATTTGCATTGGAGCACATTTTCTAGTTTTCAATTTAATTTGCGTAAAAAGTAATTAACAGAAAAACAGAGAATGAAAAATTTGCTATAAAATAATATTAAAATCATAAAATTCGGTTCAAAATTAGCAAAGTTATATAAAATTGAATATTCGAAAAAATAATTTTTTTTTGGAAATTTTTTCAATTTTTTCAAAATTCAAATTTATATAAATTTGTTAATTTTTGTTCAAATTTTATGAATTCTACGCTGTTTGATAGCAAATTTTAAGAGCTACAATAAAATTAATTTTTCAATTTTTTTAAAAATCAATTAAAGTTAGAAAATGCGCTCCAATGATAACACACCTAATATCACTTATTTTTATTGTAAAATGACGGAAAATAGCTCAATTTTTATGATTTTTATGTCATGTTGCTGCAAATTTTACAAATTTCACATTTTTCAAATTTTACAAAATTTGAATGTTAAGAATTTCCGAAAAAAAACTCACTTTTAGCTGAGAATACGCTTCTTGAACACCTACAGGTTTGGTGATTGCTGGCGGAAACTTTTTATTGAAATTCCGCAAATTACAAATTTGATTTTCCAAATCTCTAAACGCCAATTCATCATATCTGACAAGTTCGCATCGATGTCTCAAATTTTGTTCAATTCCTTTCAGATAATAAGCTACCAGCGCATTCAGATGGGTATCATTCCAATAGAGCTCCTTCACAATCCATTGTATCGTCACTAGAATATCCGATTTGTAGATGTAGGACTTTCTGGTAAGGGATTCGTGAATTGTGGGGCGTGTCTGAAAGAAACCAAAAATTTTGGTGAATTTTGAGCTGTTTTGAGCTCTCCTACGCTGAAAACCAGCGATTTTGACGGATATTGTCATCGGGGCGCGTTTTCTGATTCTGATCAAATTTTTGAGTTATACAAATTGTTATTAAATCAAAGATTTGAAATTTGCAATTAAATAATATAAAAACCATGAAAATTGATAAAAAATTGATAAAGTTACAAGAAGTTAAATTTTTGAGCAACAGTGAAAATAGGTGATTTCAGGGGGGTATTATCATTGGAGCGCGTTTTCTAACTTCAAATTTGATTCTCATAAAAAGTGATTAACAAATAAATTGTAGCCCTTGAAATTTGCTATTGAATGGTATAAAAATCTTGAAAGTCGAACTAAAATGAACAAAATGCCAAAGTTTTGAAATTGGCAAAAAATTGAAAAATATTTGTTTTTCAAAATTTTTTAACTTTATCAGTTTTTGATCAATTCCTATGGTTTTTCTATGATCTTGTAGCAATTATTACGGTTTATGTAGTAATTTAAGAATATCATGAGTAAAATTAAAATCTGGGACTATTTTAGCCATTTTCAGCTCGTCTTACTTGAAAACCAGTGATTTTTAGTGTGTGTTTTTATTGGAGCGCGTTTTCTGACTAACTTTTGAATGAGGTTGTAAATTTTTAATGGTAAATTAAAGCTCATAAAATTTGCTATTCAATGGTATAAACATCATAAAAATTGAGCAAAAACTTACAAAATTACAAAAAGTTGAATTTTGAAAAATTTGTTTTTAATTCAAATTTTTGTAACTTTGGTAATTTTCATTAAATTTTTTAAATATTTACATTTTCTTATTGCAAATTTCATAGGCTTCAATTCTTTAATTAATCACTTTTTTCAAAAATTCACCGTTAGGTCCGAAACTGCGCTCCAATGAGAACATAGCTTGAAATCACGGAATTTCGGTGTAAAATGGCTCATAATGGCTCATTTTTCTCCAAATTTTCTGGCGAAAAAATGCTCACCTGATAAGGAATTGTCAACTCTGTAGCACAATCAATTTTGATGCCAGGAAATAATTTATAAGCATGTGTTCGTCGAATAGTTCTTACTTTTGGCCGAAGATCACCTTCCACTCTTTTCACTTGATGACAGAAAAATGAATTTCGATGTTGTCGACGATAGTTGATCTCTTCCCAAGTCATCTGAATTTCGGATTCTGAATTTAAAAAATTTTTAATCAAAAAAGTAAAAAAATTGGAAAAAATTGAACAAATGGTTGAAAAAAATATGCATTTTCACTCAATTTTCTATTTTTCAAAAACATTTCTGCCCTAAAATTTTGAGATTTTCACATTTTTCAAGTCTAAATATGTCAAAAAACAACTTTAAAAGCTGAAAAACGCAGAGAAACCATGCGACAATGGCAGCCGGCCCACCAGCGTCCCTCGGCCGTGTCCGCAAACACCGCGACGCACAATTGCGGACAGAAAATGTTCTTAGGTTCTGAGGGGTGTAGAAGATGATAAGAAGACTAGAAATTGCGAAAAAATCATTAAAAATGTGTGAAAGTATACAAATTCTCAAAAAATTTTTAAAAAAATTAAAAATTTCAAAAATTTACAAAAAAATTTTGAAATCACAATTTTCAGAACTTTGACATTTCGTTCATTTTAGTTCGACTTTTAAGATTTTTATACCATTCAATAGCAAATTTCAAGGGCTACGATTTACATGTTAATCACTTTTTATGAAAATCAAATTTGAAGTCAGAAAACGCGCTCCAATGATAACACTCTGAAAATCGAGTATTTCAATTTTTGAATGACTTGAAATGGCTCAAAATGACTTAAATTTCTTAAGGTAAAATATGAGTTTTCAGGTGTATTTCAACTGAATGGAGGTTTAGAAAAAATCAGAAATCATAGGGTTTAAAAATATTTATTAGCTAATTGTAAGAAAATTAAAAATTCCAAAAAAAATTTTTTATCTAAAAAATTCGTCAGCCGAATCATCGTCATCCTGGAACATCATTGATTTGACTGGTGGTGGCCTAGGTTTTGCAGCAGATGGCCTAGGAAAATCCTCGTCCTCACTGCTCGATCCACCACCACCGAGATTTTTCAAAAGCTGGCTTATATCCGATTTTTCAGCAGGAGCTTTGGGAAATGAGGTCACTGGAGGCGGAGCTTTGAACACCGGCCTGGAAAATTGTAGTTTGTAATTTTTTAAAGAGCTTTTTTGATTCAAGAAAATCTAAATTTGCAGAAATTTAAGTCATTTTGAGCCATTTCAAGTCAGTCTAGAATTGAAATACTCGATTTTCAGAGTGTTATCATTGGAGCGCGTTTTCTAACTTCCAATATGGTTTCACAAAAATGTCTTCTTACTGTATCGTAGCCCTAGAAATTTGCTATCAAGTGGCATAAAAATCATAAAAATCGAACAAAAATGAACAAAATGCCAAAGTTCTGAAATTGGCAAAAAAATGAAAATATGAGACTTTAGAGTTATTATCCTTGGAGCGCGTTTTCCAATCGAAGTTTGATATCTGACGTACTGTTTATGTGACTACATAAAATTCCTTAAAATTTCGCATCAAGTGATACAAAAACCATGAAAATTGATAAAAAATTGATAAAGTTACAAGAAGTTAGATTTTCGAGCAACAGTGAAAATAGGTGATTTCAGGGGTATTATCATTGGAGCGCGTTTTCTAACTTCAAATTTGATTCTCATAAAAAGTGATTAACAAGTAAATTGTAGCCCTTAAAATTTGCTATTGAATGGTATAAAAATCTTAGAAGTCGAACTAAAATTAACAAAATGTCAAAGTTTTGAAAATTGGCAAAAAATTGAAAAATAATTTTTTTCCAAAATTTTGTAACTTTATAATTTTTTCAAAAATCTTTATGATTTTTATACAAATCGAAATTTCGTAATCAATTTTCAATTTTTTTTGTAGTTTGTAGTGTCTTCTTACCTTGGACTATCATCACTCTCACTATCATCCTTCATTTGGCTGAATAAACTAGACACCAGGGATTGAACATTTGGGGGCGGAGCTTGAGTGGGCGGGGCCTGAGTGGGCGGAGCCTCCGGAGGTGGAGCTTGCGTGGGTGGGGTCTGAACCGATATTGGAGCTGGAACTCCAATGGGCTCTTGAAATCTAACATGTGCAGGTACAAAAGTGGGCGGAGCTTCGGAGACCACGCCCACTTTTTCTGACCTCATTTCTTCCAGAAGTTTCTCATGATTTTCAGACATTTCAATATCGATTTTTCGCTCTTCTGTTGGCGTTTCGACTGGAGACGTTTCAGTCAAATCGATTCGAGACAAATGCATTCGGGCTTGGTCCAAATGGTCATTTTGAGGCTGGTCCGGATGATTGTGTTGTCCAAAATGAAGAGATAATGCTGAAAATTTGAAAAAATTCATTTTGAGAAAATTTGAAAAAAATTGAGAAAATTTGAGCTAAAAATCACACTTTGCACCAGTTCGTTTTCCAAGCCCTATTTTGAAAAATTGACTTTTTTTGGGTCCCCCCTCCACGAAAACCATAAAAAATCGAAACTTTCAAAATATATCATGGTTATACTCATTTTAAAGCTTTTTTCAAGACAAATCGAATGGTACAACTTCCAACGAATTCCCTCGAACAGTAACCAAGATACGGTAGTTTTTCAGTTTTTGGGTCTCACCACGGAATACCTTACAAATTGGAAATTTTCAAATCCTAGCATGATTATACTCATTTTTAAGCTCTTTTTAAGACACTTTTATCGATCCCGTTTTCAGCGATTTCCCACCAAAATTGACAGAGATACGGTAGTTTTACACTTTTTGGGCCCCACCGCGAAAATCGGCAAAAAATCACAATTTTTCAAATTCTATCATGATTATACTCATTTTGAAGCTCTTTTTAAGACAAATCGATTGATCCAGTTTTCAGCGATTTCCCACCAAAATTGACAGAGGTACGGTAGTTTCTAAGAACGACCCAGTGGCCGAGAACATTTTCTAGGCCGCCAAAAAATTTTTTTCTGAAATTCAGAGAAGTCTTGTTTACAAATTGACCTCTAAAAATTGGTGAGCTGGCAAATTTGTCAAATTTCGGATCGAAAAAAGTCTGATTTGTCATCATTTTTGTTGGGGATTTTCAAAGATTTTCCAGCCTATTTTTCATAGAAATTTCTGGAATTTCCGATCCTAATGGTCGCTCTCCGCTATATTCTTGGCATCGAAACCGAGCTGGATGTGTTCAAATGCAGATATTGTGATAAGCGATATCACATTAAAAGTGAGCCTTCGCAATTTTTGGGATTTTGAATTTTTTCTCTGCGTCCTCCCCCTCCCCCTCTCTCTCGCTTTCCCTCTCTTTCTTATACGACAACGCGCCCTCTTTTGTTGTCTGCGGCCGTGGTGTAGAGGTCGACGCTCTTGCCCACCGTGAAGAAGTCCGGGGGTTCGACTCCCCGGTGGGGTAAAACCTTTTTTTCTTTTGTTATAGGGTAGGGATACACAAATAAGTGACTAGAAAGGAAGTTTATGCAATTTCAGTGCCAAAATTGTTCAAAATTTAGAAAATTTTCCAAGAAAGACCCGATTTTTCAAGTCCAGCTAAATTCTGATAATTAAAACTACCGTAACCCAGTCAGTTTTTGTCCAAACTTAGAATTTCTTATATTTTTGAACTCAGCAAGCAAAGACGGTTCGAATGAGTATAATCATGGCTAGTTTTAAAATTTGAAGTTTTTCAGATTTTTTTTGAAATTTCCAGATGGCATCGCCGCTCTTCGTCGTCATTTTGAATGCAAACATGACGGGATTCTGGAGAAAATTCTTGCACAGTTTGGAATGGATAAATCCACCAATTCAGGTATTTTTCAACAAAAAATCGCAAACTCGCTCCATTGAATTTTTGGCGCGAAATTTGAATTTTTTAAAAATTGCTTATCGATTTCGATTTATTGATTTTTTTTCTGTTTTAACCTACTTCTTTGTTGTCTAAACGGCTCTTCTTGAATCCATTGCTCAGTGCTTAAGTTCATTCGATCGATTCTCATCGATCGGAGCTCTTCGGAAATTTCTCGAAGCCGAATTCTTGTTCTTCTGATGTCAGTTTCCAGAAGAGGTCCGCTGTAAAACATTCAATAAAAAATTTGAAAAATTTTAAGCCTAAATTCATAAGAATCCGATAAAAACTGTTGAAGTTATGTAATTTTGAAAATTGTCCAAAAATTTTTTTTCAACATTTTTTCAAAGTATCGTATCTCGGATAGTTTTCGTTCAAACTGATTGAAATTATAATTTTTGAATTTGGCAGGCTCAGAGCTTCAAAATGAGTATAAGCATGGCCATATTTGAAGGGAAAAGTGTTTTGAAAAAAATGCTTTTTTCGAATTTTTTTTCAAATTTTTTTTGCCTACCTAGTCGGAATATCGATTGGTGAATTGACCAAGCTGGAATTCAACATTGGCGTTCTCTTTAAACCTATTTGTCTTCTAGAAGCTCGTTGCTCATTCACATCCCACTGATAGCCGCCGGTTGATAGGCGGCTCACAAGCGGCTCACGGAAGTTTGGGCCAGAAGTCGCTGGAATCGCAGGAAAAGCACCCTGTAAATATGACCATTCGATTTGGCATGAAATTAGCTTCAAAATGAGTATAAACACGACTAGGTTAGAAATTTTTTGAAAATTTTATTTTTCCTGTCGAGACCCAAATTTTTGAAATTTTCAAAAAAATTCAAACTATGGCATGTTTATACTCATTTTGAAGCTCTTTAAACGCAAAATCTAGAACTGCAAAAAATTTTCAATTTGGACAAAAAATGTCCGAGTTATGGTTGTTTTACACTTTTTTGGGTCCCGCCACGAAAATCATAAAACTCGAAATTACCAAATTCTAGCTTGATTATACATCATTTTGAAGCTCTTTTTAAGACAATTTGATTGGTTTAACTTTCAACAGTTTCCCTCGAAAATTAAACTAGATACGGTGGATTTACATTTTTGGGTCCCACCACGAAAATTCGAAAAATTTCAAATATGGTCGTGTTCATACTCATTTTGAAGCTATAAACCAGCCAAACTCCGAAATCTACATTTCAAAAGTCTAATCATGAAACTTTTTGGGTTACGGTACTTTTTCAAAATTAAAAAAAATCCAAATGTTACAAATCTTTCCAACTCGGCTCATTTTCAACATATTTCAATGGTTTTTCGCTTAAAATTTCTCAAATTTTCCACTTTTTCATTTTTCGAAAATAACTCACTTCCTGGTAGCTCATTGTTGGAAGCGGGGGCGTCCAATTCGGGTATTTTCCCCGTAAATGGTGTACAAATGCATCTCGGGCGGCTTTGGCGTTGTCTAATCGCCGTTCTAGCATCGAAATTCGGTCCTCGACATCGAAAAGTGCCTCTTTCTCGTTTTTCGGGAGCATTTTCTGGAAAAATCCATAAGAAATGCTAAGAAATGAGCCCAAGGGAGCACCAGAAATTCTCCATGGCAACCCCCCTGTCCCCCTCTTTCTTTGTGTCTCTTCTTCCCCTTCCCCTCTTTCCGAACCAAAATTGATGAAAAACGGACCCCCATGGGCTCTTTTGGAGCTTTCCAAGTAGATTGAAAATCTCCCAATAGCCATTCCATGGCCCTCACAAAAATCAAAAACAATTGCCCTGAACCAGGATCGAACTGGTGACCTTTAGATCTTCAGTCTAACGCTCTCCCAACTGAGCTATCAAGGCATACGAGGAGAAGAGAGGCAGAGTGTGTATAAGAAGGGAGGAGAGGCGGGCGGCAGCTGGCCGCCGCCGCCGCTTGTTCCTCGCCTGCCGACACCCATTCTCTACCACCCTCCTCGTTTCCCATGCTCTCTCGTTTCGCTAGTTTGGAGGCCGCGTGAGAGCGGGCCGGGCGGATTGATCGGGCCGTTGATGTTTTGGGTTGTCTGCGTCTCTCACAACGGCCCGTACTCTCTCTCCCTGGCCCTCGGTCAATCTTCATTGCTTGCTTCTTAGAGGGGGGTTTCTTCGGCATTTTTTTTATTTTATGCACATTTTTTATGGGATTTTTAGGTTTTTTTTTGGCTATTTTAGCTTAATTTGAGCCTATTTAGTTGGGAAATTCGGCAAAAATCTAGAAATTTCAGCCTCATTTCCTTTAAAAAGTAGAGCATGTCCCTTTAAACTGGGCTACTGTGGCTGCGCGATGTGGCAAATTGCCACTGGCAAAGAGCTGGGGTTTTCATTCGAATTGAAAATTTTAATTGGTTTTTAAACTCGTTTTTCGATTTTCTACCGAAATTTTGAGGCGGAAAAACCATTTTTACGGCTAAAAATCGTCAAAAAAGCGGTTCTGTCGAAAATTTTGACACCTGTGCCTTTAAATTTCTCTACAGTAGCCTGAAATTCAATTTTGGTATTTTTCGCGCATTTTTCGGCAATTTTCAATGATTTTTTTGTCATTTTCATTAGATTTTACTCTAAAAATTTCATTTTTACAAAAAAAAACCTAAAAATTGTGAATTTCATAAAAAATTTTCGACACCTGCGCCTTTAAATTTTTCCTACAGTAACCCGAAAATTTCGTTTTTTATCGATTTTTTTCTAGCGGCGAACGTTTTTCGCTAATTTTTTCACAGATTTTTCTCATTATTAAATGCGAAAAATTCAGAAAAAAAAGAATTTCAGAAAAAATGACATCTCCAGAAAAATCGATAAAATTGGAGCCGGATGACGAGGCGGATAATGGGGATTACGGTACAAATGGAGAAGGACCATCGGCAGAGATGCATTTAGGCCTAAATTCGGATCTTCAAAATTTGTTAAATCCCGAAAGAAAGGGGGGACCCGCTTGGTTTCCATCGTCCAAAGGGCGGTCCATTGTGTGGGAACACATCACTTGGGTCACTGAGACGCAGAGAGCCGCCTGTAATTACTGTAGCGCTGAATTTCAGATAAAGGGTACGGTAGAAAATTTGGGGAAAAATTTTTTTTGAAAATTTTCAAAAAAAAATTTTTTTTAGAAAATTTTTTTTTTCAAAATTTCAAAATTTTTTCTACAGTACCCCTTTATCATTCCAGGCGGTACCTCAGCACTTTTACGTCATCTGAAAACCAATCACCCCGCCGCCATCAATTTCGACCCCGAAAATCCGCCGCCAATCGTTCGAAGAAAGAAGAAGAAGACGATGGAAGGTAAGAAGTGTTCAATAGAGCGCGATTGCAGATTTTTGAAATTTGAAATTTTTGAAAAAAAATTCAATGGAGCGAAGTTGCGAAAAAAAATTTTGAAAAATTAAAAAAAAAATTTTTTAAAATATTTTCAGATTACACCATCGTCACCGAGGACACCAAATCGTACATGGACAATTTGCTGGAAACATTTTTACACGATGATTTAGGTGGGAATTTGAATTTTTCAGAATTTTTGAAAAAAAAATTCAAAAATATCAATTTTAAGCCAAGTTACAGCGATTTTGAGGTGGTGGCCTAGAAATCCCAATTTTCGGGGAAAGCTAGGCCACCAAGTGAAAGATTATGATTTATTTAAAATTTTAGCACTCTTGGCAGTGTGATTCATTTTTCAGAACTCAAAAATCTCAATTTTAAGCCGAGTTACAGCAATTTGAATTTTGATGGCCTAGTTTCCCGAAAATTCTAGGCCACGAGTTACAAATTAGTCTAACTCGGCTCAAAATTAATTATTCTTAATTTTGAAAACAGATTCGAAATCAGCATGAAAAATTACATAGGATAAGTCAGAAATGATTTTCCATGGCCGAGCTTTTTAAGGAAATTTGGTTTTCTAGGCCATCAACCTTAAAATAGCTATAACTCGGCTCAAGAATGATATATTCAAATTTTAAGATCAGATTTGAGCTCAGCGTAAAAAACTACGTCGAAAACTTAATTTTCGTGGGTGGCCGAGTTTTTGGGGGAAATTTGGTTTTCTAGGCCACCAAATTTTAAAACGCTGTAACTTGGTTAAAAGCGCTATATTTGAATTTTGAAAAGTGGAACATAATTCTGAGCGCTTAGGAATTCTTCTGCGCACGCTGGCCTAACTTTTTCAAAATTGGGGTTTCTAGGCCATCGTCCGGAAAGCTAGGCCACCAATGGTTAACTTGACAGTTTCAATGTGGTTCTTGATGATGAGTTCAAAAATGTTATTGAATTTCGAAAATATCAATTTTGGGCCGAGTTACAGCGATTTTGAGTTGGTGGCCTAGAAAACCCAATTTACGGGAAACTCGGCCACATCAAAATGTTTATACTATACGACGTAGTTTTTAACGCTTAACTCGAATCTGTAATCACCATTTGAGAAAAATGAATCCCCGCAGAGTTAGGGCTGTTTGTAACCAGTGGCCTATAGGAATTTCTAGGCCACCAAACTTCCAATCGCTGTAACTCGGCTCAAAATTAAGATTTTTGAGTTCTGAGAAAAAATTCGAGCTAAGCATGAAAAACTACATTGGATATGTATGTGTTTTTCATGGTGGCCGAGTTTTCCGAAAATTTGGATTTCTAGGCCACCGAACTTCAAATCGCTGTAACTCGCTTCAAAATTAGAGTTTTTAAAGATTCTTTCTGCATTTTATTTCAATCAACTAAACAATCATTTTCTTGTAAAAAAATTTGAGGATTTAAGATTTCTAGGCCACCATTTTGGATTTCTAGGCCATCACCTCAAAATTGGCGTAATTTGGCTTAAAATGGGCGTTTTTGAGTTTTGAAAAGTGGAAAATGTAGGAAAATGTGTTTTACACATACACTGATTTTCGATTTTTGAAGCAAAATTCAAACTTATCGTAAAAAACTAAGTCGGACACATATATTTGTTTATGATGGCCGAGTTTTTTTTTGGAAAATTTGGTTTTCTAGGCCATCAAAAAAAATTTTCGAAAAAAAATTTTTTTTTTGCTAAAAATCCACATTTTCAGCTCCCCGACCCGAACCTTCTGGATCACCACAATTAGACCACGCCCACAATCATCCGCAAAATCGTGCCGAATCGGAAATCGACGAGGTGATCAGAAATCTTCAAAAAGTTAGTACAAAAATGTTTTCGAAAAAAAAAATGTCTGAAAATGTGCTGAAAATCAATGTTAAGGTTCAAAAAATTATAGGAAAAATTTTTAGACAAAAATTAATTTTTTTCAAAAAAAAATTTTTTTTCCAAAAATTTCAAAATTCCAAAATTTTCCAGGAAACCGCCCAAAATGGTCTTCCGGAGCCTGAGCAACCAGATAAGGACCTGCGCAAACTGCTAGGAATGTATAACGGCCCACCAGAGCAGGTTACTGTAGGCAATCCGAGAATTGGAACTCCCGAAAAAGGGGCGGAGCCTAGTTTGGAAGGAGAGGTAAAATTTCCAAATTTTGGAAGTACAGTAACCCAAATTTATATTTCCAGAAATCCACGTCGCCGCAAATTCCCAAAAAGCGGAAATTGGATGAGACGAGGAGACCCATGGAAGGATTGAATAATGGGAAATGTGAGAAATCTGGAAATTTAGGTCAAAACGCTTTATAAATTAGAAATCTAATGAAATCTAGTTTTCTTTAGACCCATTTCACAGTTTTCAAAATTCGAAAATATCAGTTTTAAGCCGAGTTACAGCGATTTTCAGGTGGTGACCTAAAAATCCAAATTTCCGAAAAAGTTAGGCCACCAAGGGCAAGTTAAAAAAATTTTCGAAATTCATGGTTTCCTAAAAACCCTACACATTTTTCAGAACTCAAAAACCTCAATTTTGAGCCGAGTTACAGCGATGTGAATTTTGTTGGCCTAGAAATCCAAATTTTCTAGGCCACGGGTTGTTCAAAATGGTCAAACTTGGCTGAAATTCGATATTTCGAAATTTTGACAACAGATTCGGAATCAGCGAGAAAAATTACATCGGATACAAATAAATTTGTTTCTCATGGCCGAGCTTTTCTGGGAAATTTGGATTTCTAGGCCATCACCTAAAAATTGGGTATATCTCGGCTCAAACTAGGTTTAAAAAATGTCTGGAAACAGATTTGAGCTTAGCGGGAAGAACTACGTCGGACACATGTATTTTTTCTTATGCTGGCCTAGTTTTTTAAGAATTTGGGTTTCTAGGCCACCACCTGAAAATTGCTGTAACTTAACTCAAAATCGATATTTTTGAATTTTAAGGACAGATTTGAGCTCAGCATGAAAAACTACGTCGGACACCTGTATTTTTCTTGTGGTGGCCTAGTTTTCCGAGAATTTGGCTTTCTAGGCCACCACCTGAAAACTGCTGTAACTTGGCCCAAAATCGATATTTTTGAATTCTGAAAAGTGTGAATGAATTTTTAAAAGCTGCTCAATCAAATCAACAGTTTGTGGCCTAGAAATTTCTAGGCCACCGAATTCCTAGGCCACCAATTTCAATTTTCCCGATTTTCAGTCCCAACGTCGATCCTAACGGCCATCCGTCGTCCACCAACTATTGCTCAGAGTTCAACGCCGTTTCCTACAGTACCCCAACCACCGCCACCCCCGCACATTGCTCAGCTAAATCCGATTCCAGCATTTCCAGCGAAATATAACGCGCAGGCGGTTCAAATTTTGGATTTCGAGGCGAAAGTACTGTACAATCAGAGTCTACACGCCACGATTGCAAGAGTGAGTAACTATAGATTTGGAGGGAATTTCAAAATTTTGAAAAAAAAAATTTTTAAATTTTTTTTGAAAATTTTTACAAATTTTTCAGGAGGACTCCATGACGACGTACTACCGTATGAAGGCTCGAAAAATGGAACTGGAGATCAAAAAACTGGAACGAGAGCTCGGCGAAGAGCAGGAAGAATAAATTCGCTATTAGATTACTGTATCTATCATTATTATCATGTGTTCCATATCTGGTCCCAAAAAAGGACCTCAAAAAATTTGTTTATTTAGAATTTTCTGTGAAAATATGAAAGCCAATAAAGTTTTACACAGTTTCCAGTTTTCAGATTCGGAAAATATGCATTTTGAGACGAGTTACAGCGATTTTTCGATAGTGGCCTAGAAATCCAATTTCTGGAGAAAATTAGGCCACTGAGGGCAAGTAAGAACGATTTTCGAAATTTATGGTTTCCTAGAAACACTACACACTTTTCAGAACTCGAAAATCTCAATTTTGAGCCGAGTTACAGCGATTTGAATCTGGTGGCCGAGTTTTTGGAAATTTCTAGGCCACGGGTTACAAACCGCTGTAACTCGGCTCGAAATTGAGATTTTTCGATTTTGAAAAGTGCAATGTAAATCCTAGGCTCAGATTTCTATTCTTGCACTTTGTGGCCTAACTTTCTCAAAATTTGGGGTTCTAGGCCACCGCCCGGAAAGCTAGGCCACCAATGATTGACTAAAAGTTTTTATGTAGTTTTTCATGCTGAATTCAAATATCTTACTGAATTTTCAAAAAATCAATTTTGAGCCGAGTTACAGCGATTTTCAAATGGTGGCCTAGAAAACCAAATTTTCGAAAAACTCGGCCGCATCGAAATTTTTATACTATCCGATGTGATTTTTTGCGCTAAACTTTAATCTGTTTTCAAAATTTAAAAAAGTTGAATCTCCGCCGAGTTAGGGCTGTTTGTAACCTGTGGCCTAGAAATTCCTAGGCCACCAATCTTCAAATCGCTGTAACTCGGCTCAAAGTTAAGATTTTTGAGTTCTGAGAAAAAATTCGAGCTAAGCATGAAAAACTACATTGGATTTGTATGTGTTTTTTATGGTGGCCGAGTTTTCCGAAAATTTGGATTTCTAGGCCACCGAACTTCAAATCGCTGTAACTCGGCTCAAAATTGATATTTTGGAATTTTGAAAACATATTTGAGCCCAGCGTAAAAAACTACGTCGGAAACGTATGTTTTTGGTAGTGGCCGAGTTTTTTGAGAATTTGGATTTCTAGGCCACCACCTAAAAATTGCTGTAACTTGGCTCAAAATTGGAAATATGGAAATTTAAAATTAGAGAATTTTCATAAGCAGCTCCGTCCAATACATACAAAATTCTGATTGGCCTAGAACAACTAAATGGCCTAGAAAACCCAAACTTTGGTTTTCTAGGCCACCAACCTTAAAATCGCTGTAACTCGGCTCAAAATTGGAATTTCAGAATTTTTGAAATTGTTTTGAAAATTTTCTAAACATTTGCGTCAAATGCACAAAAATTGATTGACCTAAAAAACTTGATTGGCCTAGAAAACCCAAGTTTTGGATTCCTAGGCCACCAATCTTAAAATCGCTGTAACTTGGCTGAAAATTAAAATTTTCGAATTTTGAAAAATGCATCGTACATCTGAGTTTTGCTGAATTTGATTTCTTTTAATAGTCCCTAAGTGTTGGTGGCCTAACTTTCCCAAAATTCGGATTTCTAGGCCTCTAACCTTAAAATCGCTGTAACTCGGCTTAGAATTGGAATTTTTCAAAAATTTAAAAAAGTTTTTCCCTATAAAAATTGCTAGAATTCTATTTTTAGCTACAGCTACACATTCTAGCATTTACACTTTTTTTTTTTGCAACACAATAATTTCTCTTTGTCGGCATCCCCCGTTCGCAAATTTTGACCCAAAACTTTTTTCTTCTTAAAATTTCCCAAATTTCGGAAAAATAAAGAAAAGAGCCGACACCATTTTTAAAATCTATTATCTATTTTCTCTTTTTGAAGTCGTGCCGCTAAGATTTTTCGAGGAATTAAGTTGATGTCCCCCCTCCTCCCTCTCGCCCCGTCCCGGTCTGTGTTTCATGTGTGCGGTCGAGAATCAAACGCCTTTTGATCTATACCGCCCGCCTCTTTGGCTAGTAATACTCCAGATGTCATGGTTTTCCACATTTGTGTCGTTTTTATTTATATAAAACTGAAATGAGAACTCGAAAAATCCTATTCTGGGTCGAGTTATGACCATTTGAAATTTGGTGGCCTAGGAATCAAAGTTTTTTTTTGGTTTTCTAGGCCATCAATTTTTTATGTTGTTAACTTTTTAATAAGCATTCAACGCGGCTGTTTATGAGAATTCCAAAACCAGTTTCGAAATTTTGAAATTCCAATTTTAAGCCAAGTTACAGCGATTTGAAATTTGATGGCCTAGAAACCCGAATTGGTGGCCTAGAAATCTCAAATCTTCAAATTATTTTACATAAAAATGTTTATCTTGTTCATATCAACTCGATGCATTTTTCAAAACTCAGAAACGTCAATTTTGAGCCGTGTTACAGCGATTTGTAACCAGTGGCCTAGAAATTTCTGAAAACTAGGCCACCAAAATTTCAAACCGCTGTAACTCGCTTCAAAATGCGAATTTTTCAGTTTTGAAAATAGTTTTGGCATTGAAATACATCAAAAAATACATCGATTACGTTATTTTTTTTCTGTGGCCGAGTTTTTCGAAATTTTTGGATTTCTGGGCCACCATTTTATTTTTGTTAAATTTAAATGCCTTCGACGCCGCTGTTTGTGGAAATCCTAAAACTGGTTTCAAAATTCTGAAATTCCAATTTAAAGCCGAGTTACACCAATTTTAAGTTTTGTGGCCTAGAAATCCAAGTATTTTGGTTTTCTAGGCCACTGCAAAATTAAATATGTGTCCGACGTCATTTTTTACGCTGAGCTCAAATATGTTTTCAAAGTTTCAAAATTCCAGTTTAGAGCTGAGTTACACCGATTTGAAATTAGGTGGCCTAGAAAACCAAATTTTGGAAAAACTAGGTAACGAACCCTGAAAAGTTAAAGTTCAACTGAAAATTTAATTTCAAACCCAATTCTGTTCTTAAAACTCAAAAATTCCGCATTTGAACAGAGCAATGGACATTTAAACCTAAGTGGCCTAGAAATCCAAAAATGTTCGAAAAACTAGGCCACCAGATTCAAAAACTAGTGAACCTGATGTAAAATGATAAACCATGCAAAAATCAGTTTTCAGGACTCGAAAATTCTAATTTTGAGCCGAGTTATAACAATTTGAAGTTTAGTGGCCTAGTTTTTCGAAAATTCTAGGCCACTGGTTACAAATTGCTGTAACTCGGCTCAAAACTGGAGTTTTTGAAATCTGAAAAATGCATTTGATAGAAATTAACAAGACAAACATTTTTATTAAAAAATAATTCAAAGACTTATAATTTCTAGGCCACCAATTTGGATTTCTAGGCCACCACCTCAAAATTGGCGTAACTTTGCTTAAAATTGAGGTTTTCTCAAAATTTAGCTTCCTATTTTTTTCTAAAATAAATTTTCAGATGTTGGCATTTCTATATTTCGTCCAAATGCTCATAAATCTTCCGAAAATGCTAGTTTTGAGCTGGAACAATGTGGTAAGAGAGATTTCTAGGCCACCTGAGCTTTCTAGGCCACCGGGGGATTTTAGGAATTTAAAAAATTTCAAAAAAATGTTTTTTCCAGATTTTCCCCCCAATGGATTCCTCCAAAATGGCTTTTCGAATAACTACAATATCCGATGAATTTCCAGAATTCTGGCAGACACCTTCAGACGTTTCCAGAAGAGATTCCCTTCTGAATATTTCCATTTGCCACGTGGAAAAATTCAAAAATTCAGAATTTTCGAAATTTGTCTGGAAATTTGATGGGCTGAAAATTTTCGGGAAAGAATGCAGCCGATTTTTTCGAATCCAGGATCGAAAAACTCATCGGGTTACTGTAGAAATTGGGGATACTGTATTATCAGAAAATTTGAGTTTGGCGCCGCCAAAAAAATTCTGGATCGCCTCAATCGGAGATTCATTTTCCTCGGGACAAGGCAACCCTGGGGACAAATGGCTCGATGGTAAGCTACAGTAATCCTACAGTACCCCAAGAGTACAGTATGCCTCATTTCAGAGTCTTGTTATCGATCGAAGCTGGCGTTTCCTGTGAGGATTTCCGAGAAAATCGAAACTTCCATTTTATCATTTTTATCTTGCTCGGGGAGTACTGTAGAACAAGGAATACTGTCGAAAAATGGGCAATTAGAGGTTTTAAACTCCTTAATTATGTCTCACGGCTCTCCTCCTGATATTTTATTCCTCACAATTGGCGGAAATGATATCGGATTCACCGACGTGATTTCAATGGTCCAGCGAGACAGTAATATTGCTGATAAATTTGATATGAGGTATTTTTTCAATTATTAAAAATTATGTAAAACTCAATTCCACACATTTCCCACTTTTCAAAACTCAAAAACACCAATTTTAAGCCAAGTTACGTCGAATTTAAGATCGTGGCCTAGAAATCCAAATTGGTGGCCTTGAAATTTCAAACACACAAACTAGTTTATTCAAAAAGGTTTGCCATATTAATTGAAATTCAATGCAAAAAGAATCACTCGAAAATTTCAATTTTGAAGCGAGTTACAACGGTTTGTAACCCGTGGCCTAGAATTTTCAAAAAACTAGGCCACTGGTTACAAACCGCTGTAACTTGCTTCAAATTCAAAATGCTTCAATTCTGAAAACAGATTTGAGCTCAGCGTAAAAAATCACGTCAGACACACTTATGTGACCGAGATTTTCAAAGTTTGGTTTTCTAGGCCACCGAAAACCTAGGCCATTCAGTTTTAAAATCGCTATGACTCGCTTCAAATTTGAAACTTTCAAATTCCGCAAGCAGATTTTAGTTGGACACATAAAATTACGTGGAAAACCTGTATTTCCATGTTTGTGGCCTAACTTTTTCCTGGTGGCCTAGAAACCCAAATTTGAGCATAAAAGTTAGGCCATAAGAAATAAACGAACTAGTTCGATGTATTTTTGCATTCTCGTTTCAAGTCTGTTTTTAAAACTTAGAAATATCGAATTTCAGCCGAGTTCTAGCAATTTGAAAGTGGTGGCCTAGAAATCCAATTTTCGGAAAACTAGACCGCAAAGTGTTTAATAATATGTGCCACATTTGCAGAAGTATTTCACACTTTTCAGATTCCAAAAATTCCCATTTTGAAGCGACTTATAGCGGTTTGTAACCAGTGGCCTAGTTTTTCGAAATTTCTAGGCCACGGGTTACAAAACGCTGTAACTCGGCTCAGAATATACGTTTTAAAGTTATTCAAATTGCATTAGACTTGAATTAAGAAGACAAATATTTCCTTATAAAAAAATTGGAAGGTTTGAAATTTCTAGGCCTCCAAATGTGGGTTTCTAGGCCACCACCTCAAAATTGGGCGTAACTTTGCTTAAAATGGTCGGATTTCAGTTTTGAAAGATGGGTTAGACTTGAAATTTTATGAGGATTCTAGAAAAAACCAAATTCCAGATTCTTCTTTGTGTCCCATCAAATCGATCGTGTCGCTTGGAAGCTTCGAGAAATGAACATCTCTCGTGTAGTCCTATTGGACTACTATGACGTCACGAAAAACGATAGGAACGAGGTAGACGCCTCATGTGGAGCCTTTGGGCAGGTACAGTAATCCTTATTCATTAAAAAACCAGCAAAAAAATTTTTAGGTGTCTTTGTCAAATTTGAAATTGGCGGAGAAGAAAATTCTGCAACGACTCAACCAGCTATTACGGCGAAAAGCCCAGGAGTACGGTTGGATTACTGTAGACACCTCGGAAATTTTCGGAACACGTGGCATTTGTTCCAGCAGGAGTTTGATACGGTAGCTTCAAAGTACCGTAATCCTCGAAACTTCATTTTTAAGGTCCCGGAACGAAAGTTTGGTGCTACAGGGAAACGAGTACGGTAGTTTTCATCCAAACGAAGAAGCACATCAATTGATTTCGATGAAGATTTTGAAAACTTTGAAAGAGCGGGAAATTTTAAAAATTTGAATTTTTGAAAAAAAAATTTTTTTTGAAATTTTTTTTTTGTATTCTGGGCATTTTTTGATCTCTTTGTGACTGTGTTTTCTTGCCAAATGAATCATTTTTCCGTTTTTCACACTTTTCCGGAAAAAAAACTGAAAATTAGCGATTTGGAGACAAGTTACGAGATGGTGGCCTAGGAAACCAAATTTAAAAAAAAACTAGGCCACTACAAAAAATACATGTGTCCGACGTAGTTTTCTACGCTGAACACAAATATGTTTTCAAAATTCAAAAATATTGATTTTGAAGCGAGTTACAAGGATTTACCTCTCCTGGCCTAGAAATCCAAATTTCAAAAAAACTCGGCCACCAAAATAAAATATGTGTATCCAACGAAGATTTGTATGCTGAGCTCGAATCTGTTCTCAGATTTTAGAAATACCGATTCTGAAGCGAGTTACAGCGATTTTCACATGGTGGCCTACAAAACCAAATTTTCGAAAAACTCGGCCGCATCGAAATTTTTATACTATCCGATGTGATTTTTTGCGCTAAACTTGAATCTGTTTTCAAAATTCAGAAAAGTTGAATCTCCGCCGAGTTAGGGCTGTTTGTAACCTGTGGCCTAGAAATTCCTAGGCCACCAATCTTCAAATCGCTGTAACTCGGCTCAAAGTTTAGATTTTTGAGTTCTGAGAAAAAATTCGAGCTAAGCATGAAAAACTACATTGGATTTGTATGTGTTTTTTATGGTGGCCGAGTTTTCCGAAAATTTGGATTTCTAGGCCACCGAACTTCAAGTCGCTGTAACTCGGCTCGAAATTGATATTTTGGAAAGATTCTTTCTGCATTTTATTTCAATCAACTAAACAATCATTTTCTTGTAAAAAAATTTGAGGATTTAAGATTTCTAGGCCACCATTTTGGATTTCTAGGCCATCACCTCAAAATTGGCGTAATTTGGCTTAAAATGGACGTTTTTGAGTTTTGAAAAGTGGAAAATGTAGGAAATTGTGTCTTACACATTTCTCATTAAATAAAAAATACCTCATGTCATTTTTTTCAGCAATATTATTACTCAAATTATCAGTAGCCTCATTTTTATTTTTCGAAAATTTGGGTTTCTAGGCCACTGCTTTGTAACTGTAGTGATCTCTGAACACTATCCAGCTTTCTCTAATTTCCCACAATTCCTCTAAAAAATCCACTCACAAAAGACCAGAGATTCAGAATAAAGCTTTTCGGGAGAAAATAATTAGCCTGGGTAATTATGTCATATTTCGGATGACGTTATGTGTTTTGGTGGTGGCCTAGGAATCCAAAAACTTGACTACTAAAAATTTCAAAATGTGTATTTTGATTTTCGAAGTTCAATACAATTTTTTGTCCTAAAAAACTCCAATTTTGAAGCGAGTTACAGCGGTTTGAAATCGGTGGCCTAGAAAACCAAAGTTTTTGGAAAACTCGGCCACCACGAACCAACACATGTGTCTGACGTGGTTTTTTTCGCTGAGCTTAAATCTGTTTTTTAATTTCGAAAATTCCAATTTTGAAGCGAGTTACAGCGTTTTGTAGCCCATGGCCTAGAAATTCAAAAAACTAGGCCA